AGGGCATGGGGGTGCAAGGGCTTTGGGAGTGCTGCGGGTGTGGTGTGCTTTCGACTACCTGGCCTAGGGGGTGTGTCAAATTATATATTATGTATATATATATATATATTTTGTTTAGGCTTGGTAGGTGTGTTACATTGCTGGATCCTATTGTAGAGTGGATAACCCCCCGTTCTTGTATCTCTTTCTCTTCCTAGTTGTCCCTCTTTTTCTCTCGTCAACTTTCTTCTACCCTAGTTAAACCTCTCGCTAGTCCTATGCCTAGTTCCTAAGCTCTCTTAACATCACTTGCTGTAATGGGGTCGCTTTAAGCGGGGAAATGTGGATGTGGAGTGTCAGAGGGCTCGGCACCTAATGCCTCCCCTATAGGATTTGTTAAAAAAAGGGAGGGTTGTGAATTCTACAATGGAAACCTGAGTGGATTTGTTGTTTTACACATATCTTGAACCCCTTGCATTACATGCATTGCCCCCTCCTACCAATGTGGTGGGAAAATAGGGGAGAATAAGGGGGGAGGGGGGTAAATCTGATCTTATAAACGGGAAATCCTAATACAAGATAGATGCCTAATGCAAGACATAGTATCTTCTATTCCATGGGGGTCTTATATCCGGGCTTTTACGGTACGAATTCTCCTCGTACCATCATACCCACCTCCCGCTTTCCTCATCTTCATACCGCCCACCTCCCCACTCTTATCGCTGCTAGCGTTCGTATTGCTTCTTGCGCTCCCGTTGCTGCTGGTGTTCCGTCTTCAGCCTTCCGTTTTCCCTTCAAGCCCCATTGGCTCTTTTTGTTTTTTTTTCTAACGAGTTGTGTTGCCATTGTGCCATAAGCACGCGCCATAAGAACTCCACGGACCAGGAGGGGGGCCTGCGGAGCTTTGGGAGGGGGTGGGGGCAGCGGGGATTGAGAGGAAGGGCAGCCCCCACCCTGTCCTCTCCTTCCCCCCCTCCCCCTCCCACTGCTCCTCGGGTACTCCCCCTCACAACGGCAACGACTGCGCAATGGTGGTAATTACCACCTCTCGTGGTAAGAATGGTGAAGTTCTAATTTTTTTGCTTCTTCTTCAATATATCTAATGTCTGGTTTTGGTCCGTGGAGCAGAGGAGGGCAAAATGAACAAGCTGACGCTCTCGTGGTAAGAACCATCAAATTTAGCTTTGTTGATTCGTTTTCAAGATATCTAACGTCTGTTTCTTTTTCCTGTTGTGGAGCAAGAGGAAACAAGAATAAGCCGACGTTCAATGGTAAGGTTGTCATTTCTGTTCGTTTTCAAGCCATGTAACATCCGTTCGTTGTCTTGGTCTGTTTTATGTAAGCTTAACCCCCCACCCGCCCCCAACACACCCCAAATTACAACACCCTCCCCCCCCTCCACCCCCACCCACCCCCTTCCCTCGGGTACAGGGTAAGTTAGGATCACGTTAGGAGCTTTACGATTTCGTCAGCGCGCTAGAATCGCTAGCACGATACGTCAGCACATTACAGTAGGATCTTGGCAGCGGACAACCGCATTACTTAATTAGGATCTCAGCAGCGGACGACCGCGTTACTTAAATAGGATCTCGGCAGCGGACGACCGCATTACTTAAATAGGATCTCGGCAGCGGCTGATTGCATTACAGTAGGATCTCGGCAGCGGCCGATCGCGTTACCTTGTTACAGTAGGATCTCGGTAGCGGCCGATCGCATTACCTCGTTACAGTAGGATATCGGTAGCGGCCGATCGTGTTACCTCGTCATAGAAGGGTATCGGCAGCAGCCGATCGCATTACCTCGTTACAGATGGATCCGGCAGTGGCCGATCGAGTTACCTCGTCAGTAGGATCTTGGCAGCGGCCAAAACGCTAGCAAGCTACACCTAGATCGCGATATTTTCACAACCTGGAAAATTTCGAGTCAAACACGCTCAACACGGCTTGAGGCTAGGGGTGATGGAAACCCCAAATGATCGTGTCTAGTTTTACTGGAAGAGTAGGGCTGAATCAAAGAGCACGCCCCTCACGATCAAACAGTTATGCTGTGATTGTCAACGAACGCCGTGAGAGTTCGCAGAGGCCCGTAATGTTCCAGCCAAGAAAGTGCTCACGCTACTTCATTATTTGCTTGAATCAACCGCGAGTAGCCCAAGATCAAAGCGTAAATAGTAAAATGTGTGAAGTTATTAGTAGTGAAGATGTCGTAGGTTAGGTGTAATAAGCTCGTTTCCCCTCGCCCCTGGTCAACCTGATAAGCCCTCCTCACCCCTGACAACCGAGCTTCTTCCGGAGGTGATTTCTCCCTGCTCGTTGGAAGCGCATTTAAAGCCAGGGGCCCAAGTTTACCAACTGTAAAACATTTGCTTTCTGCTAGTCCCTGAGGGTGACCCAGACGCCCTTGACATCCCGACCCCTCGCACTTACGCTGAGGCGACCTCGAGACCCTGGACCTCTCAGTGGATATCTGTTATGGATGTGGAGATGGCATCTTGGAGATCCACCGACACCTACATCAACGCAGTTCCCCCATCTGGGGTGAATGTAGTCAATGGCCGGTGGCTCTTCAAAGTGAAGCGCCCTCCTGGAGAACCGCCGGTGTTCAAGGCGCGCTATGTTGCTAGAGGATTTAGTCAGCGCGAGTGTGTTGACTTCTTTCAGACCTTTGCCCCGACCCCGAAGATGACCACTCTTCGGACACTGCTACACGTAGCAGCACAGCGCGACTACGAGCTGGACTCCCTCAACTTCTCCACAGCGTTTCTCTAGGGCAATCTGCACGAGAAGATCTACCTGCGTCGTCCGCCCGGCTTCACCGGCACCTTCGGCCTGGTACCGAATGGCTCCTCCGACACCCGGCTTACGGCCTGCGGTAGGCGCCCCATGAATGGCACGATACACTGTGTGCTACGTTAGCTGATCTGCAGTTCTTCTCTCGCTCTTCGTTCATTCTGGCCAGATCCCGTTCTACATCCTTGTCTACGTAGACGACATGTTCCTCGCTACTGCAAACAGAGACACACTGGCCTCCGTAAAGGCTGAGCTGTTGAGGAGTCACACCTGCACTGACCTAGGAGAGTTGCCCCGCTACCTTGGCCTGCAGATCTCCAGGGACAGAGCAGCGCGCACCATCACTCTTACACAGTCACTCTTGATGCGCCAGGTCCTTAACAAGTTCTGTCTTCAGTTCTCCTCCGCACAGCCCACACCTCTGCCAGTAGATCACGGGCTCTTGGCTCCAGTCCCTGAGGAGTCAGTAGAGCCTAGTGGGCCGTATGCAGAGCTAGTGGGTTGCCACATGTACCTGATGACTTGCACTCGTCCAGATCTCGCATACCCTCTCAACATCATGGCTCGCTTTGTGGCCACAGGCAGACACCGACCACGGCATTGGTCGGCCGCTAAGAGGGTTTTGCATTATCTAGCAAGTACATTGGGGATGGGGCTAGTGTTAGGAGGACGCAGGCCAGTGGTCCTTGCTGAGCACACTGACGCTTCGTGGGCAGACGACGCTGAGACGCTCAAGTCCTCCCAGGGCTACTGCTTTAGCCTTGGTGCAGGCGCCATCTCGTAGAGGTCCACCTGCTCGTTGTCTGTTGCACACTCTACCTGTGAGGCTGAGGTCTACGCTGGTGCCATGGCGGCACAGGAGCTCCGCTGGCTGACTTCCTTGCTCACAGACTTAGTTGAGCGGCCTAGCTCTGCCCCGGTCCTGTACATTGACAACACGGCCATGATCCTCCTGTGTCAGGAGCCTCGACTGGAGGGCAGAGCGAAGCACATCCAACTGTGGTACTTCCTCCTGCGCGAGCTACAGCAGCGCCGCCAGGCTCGCGTAGTTCACTTGGTCTCCGGTGCTAACACAGCTGATATCTTTACAGCGCCACTGTGTACAGCTTGGTCTAGTTCCTATAGCTTCTCACCTGCTAGGACCTTGATAGTATTATCATATACCTTATATTATCTTGATTGACCTTATGGCTCCTGTTCCAGTGCATGGACTAGTAGTGCCACACTGGATTGCTCTCGTTTCCTTTGTACTCTTGCAGACTGGTCTTCAAACCCTTGCCTCAGAGGTTGGACTAGTAGTGCCACCCTGAGCTGCATGTCTCGTGCTAGTCGTTGTCCCTTGTCTAGGGTGTGTCAACATATATTTGTATATGTTATAGGCTAGATAGGTGCATGCTCATAGAGAGTGCAATACCTTATGACAAAACCACTCTGTATCACTCATTCTAGTTTATTCCTTACTTTGAGAATTCTCACTGATAAATTTTTTTCCCAAGAAAATAGGGAGTGGCTCCCTCTTTCTCTTCCGTAAGGCATCATACCACCAATTTGTTGGTATTGAAGGGCCATTGGGGAATTGGGGCAATTTGAGGGACTCCAGTGGGCGGTTTACTGTAGCGATTGAAGGGAATGGGGCGAGAAAGGCATTGCGATTGTTGGGCCCGGTTTGGAAATCGCAGGCTGACGTCACTGGTCGCATGGCGACCAATTCCAGCTCGAAGCACCTTCCGAGGCCCCAAATGCCCATGCGCTTCTTAAAAAATTGCGCAGTCGAACGATCTCTAGGCTTCTTGGATATGGCAGAAATTATCCATTTTTTTTGAAAAAAAAACCATATCGGCCATGTACGGGAGCCCCAAAGTGCTGCCCTGAAGTTTTTCCGATGTAAGAACACACCCTCCGTGTCACGCAGGAAAAATCCTACATGCGCAACCTCTAGTCCGCAGTCCACGGAACGCCAATCAGAGTCCTTCACATACCCCGATTCGCCCTCCCGTAGGGTGTATAGTACACTCTTGTTTATGGAACAAAATCTCATCAGGAAGCAATTTCTGGATTGATTATGTGTTAGCATTGATGATGTCTTACAGGCCTTAGTTAATCATTAAACACCAGCCTCAACCTTGTAACCTACCTTCTGGACTGAAAGCGTGCTTTTGTAAGGAGGATGACTCCTGAACAGGAGGTGTCCAAACCACTTCCAGTCTGATCTTACCTTATTTCCCATTCATGGCCGCTGGTGACTGAGTAGGGTGCCTAGGATGTCTCGCTGTGACAACCGTCCAAGCGTTGAAAGCGTCGTCACGGATGGCTTGAAAACCGTTCGATTACATCTTGGTTTATCGACGTTCTATTCGCTATCCAGCTACCCTTTTTTCTTCTACAAAATGGCGTCCGACGGCTCGTTCCGCGATCCGCTCCCGTTCTTTGGCCCATCCACAAGCATCCCCGAGCTTACCCGACTCTCGCGCCTCTCCAGCCAATCGTCTCCCGCCAGCTGTCACTGGAAGCTTTTCGACCGTCAGACTCGCGCTGAGTCGCTCTACCCGCCGGGAGACGATCGCGGACGGGTAACCGTCTGGTCGCTTAAGATCTCGCCGTCAGGCAAGCGGCTAGCCGTCATCTGGGGCTCGACAGTTACCATTTTGTCGCATTACGATGGCTATTCGGCTCCGGTTGGCAACTTCAGCATTCCGTCAGGTATTGTCTTAATGCCTGAATGTCCGAACATCTATATGTCAGGTATGATCGTCTAAATGCCAGGTATGGTTGTCTGAATGTCAGGTATGATTGTCTGACTGTCAGGTATGATTGTCTAAATGTCAGGTATGATTGTCTAAATGTCAGGTATGATTGTCTGACTGTCAGGTATGATTGTCTAAATGTCAGGTATGATTGTCTAAATGTCAGGTATGATTGTCTAAATGTCAGGTATGATTGTCTGACTGTCAGGTATGATTGTCTAAATGTCAGGTATGATTGTCTAAATGTCAGGTATGATTGTCTAAATGTCAGGTATGATTGTCTGACTGTCAGGTATGATTGTCTAAATGTCAGGTATGATTGTCTGACTGTCAGGTATGATTGTCTGACTGTCAGGTATGATTGTCTAAATGTCAGATATGATTGTCTGACTGTCAGGTATGATTGTGTGACTGTCAGGCATGATTGTCTGACTGTCAGGTATGATTGTCTGACTGTCAGGTATGATTGTCTGACTGTCAGGTATGATTGTCTGACTGTCAGGTATGATTGTCTGACTGTCAGGTATGATTGTGGGACTGTCAGGTATGATTGTGTGACTGTCAGGTATGATTGTCTGACTGTCAGGTATGATTGCCTGAGTTGCTGATCAGTATGAATGTTCTTACATTCGTTGCTTGTGGGTTCCCCTGGTGCGGTTTTCCAGTGGTATGGTTGAGTATCATGCGTTATCACGTGTCAGGTTGCATGTAATGTGTGAGTGCAGGTTGTGCGTCTTCTTCTGCCTTCAATTTGATAAATTGTCCAACATGCTTCATCACATGTCAGATTCTCGTGCTATATCCTCCAGCCACAAAAAAATGTTGTGTTTCTTCTCATTAGGCTGCTATTTTGTTTCCGTACCATTACCCTGTGCAGAATCGAGCAGGCATAGGGTTACCACTTCCACTCATGTAACCGCGGAGTGGAGTGACGATGAGAGGGTTCTGGCTGTGGCTGCTTCACACGCTCTCTGGTTGCTGGACACACAAGGGCTGCTGCTCGGCGAATTGCATTCTTCCACGTGGCAGCCTCGGGGATCCACTATTGCAGGCTGTATCCTGCGATCTGCAACTACCTCAGAATCTACCAATGCAGGGAAATCCCTTAGGTAAGGTTCCTTTTCAAATCACCACTCTTTTCCTTTCACCTCTTCTCTTCTCTCCACGACTCCCCTCCCCTACTCTACTCGTCTCCTCTTTTCTTCTCACCCACGCCCTTCTTTGCACACGACATCATCTTGCCCTTGTCCCCCCCTGCGCCCACGCCTCTGGCGAACCATCATACTCTCACCTCCTCTCCTAGCCACAATGTAACCCGAATTCGCGTCTCATTCACCCTCCTGCTGCTGTCTGTACTGCTCCCACGCCCCTGTTCCCCCTGTTCCCCCTGTTCCCCCTGTTCCCCCTGTTCCCCCTGTTCCCCCTGTTCCCCCTGTTCCCCCTGTTCCCCCTGTTCCCCCTGTTCCCCCTGTTCCCCCTGTTCCCCCTGTTCCCCCTGCTCCCCCTGTTCCCCTCCCAGTTCCAGTGCCTACGACATTATCTTGGTCTTATCCCACCCGCGCCCACGCCTCTGGAGATCCACAGTCACTCTTCCACTGCCTCCCTCTGCTGAGCACTGGGCGAGTTCAGGAGTTTCTTCAGGGGCCGCTGGGATCTCCTCAGGGGTTTCTTCAGGTGTTGGTTCAGGAGCTTCAGGTGCTGCTTCAGGGGCTTCAGGTGTTATTTCAGGAGCTTCTGCACCGCGCCCTGGGCGGGTGAACGCGAGGGGGAGGGCGTATCTGCTTGGGGGGAGGCATCAGGGGAGCGTAGTTCGCTCGGACTTTCACCCTGTGCTCAGCCTGCTTGCCGTGGCTGGCATGTGCCCCTCAGGTGAGACCTGTCCGTATGGGACCTGTCAGGTGATGCCTATTGGAATCGCTTCCTCCGCCTTCTCCTCTCCCCCCCCCCTCTCCACCCTTCCCTAGCAACCTGGGTGTTGTGGGAAATCTGTATCATCGTCCAATTCCCAGATTCCGATTCCTGGCGTCCATATCAGGGTCCGATTCCCCACGTCCAATACATTCACGTCTTGTTGTTTTTTTCATCCTCTCCCCCCCCCCCCCCCCCGTCTTCTTGTCCTTTCTTTTGAGTCGACTCAAAAGCCCCCCCCCCCGTCTTCTTGTCCTTTCTTCTCCCTTGCAGCCGGAAAACCACCCCCTGCGCGCCACGTGCCTGCCCACGTCCCTCCTCCTATCCATCTGGCACATCCGAGACCCCCCCCACCACTCTCTGCTACCGTCACGACTCATTTCCGTTCTTATCCCCCTCCGCCCCCATGCTTTGGGTCCCATCTTCCCCTTTGCAGTCGGTAAACCATCCCCCACGCGCCCGCCCACGTCCCTCCTCCTATCCATCTGGCACATCCCCGACCCCCACCACTCTCTGCTACCGCCTTCCTTCCTCTGCCTCCTCCGCTTCGCCCCTCCCCCCCTCCACCCTCCCCAAATCAAACCCAGCCGTTCGGGGAGACCAGGCTCTGGTTCCGGCTTAGGGTTTAGCTTGGGGGGAGAGGAGGAGGAGGAAGAAGATGAGGAGGAGGAGGAAGGAGAGGAGGCGGTAGCAGAGGTGCGATTCTCCCCTGACGGGGGGTCGCTGGCGGTGGTGCACCACCGGGGGGCGCTCTCCCTCATGCGGATGTCGGCTAAGGACTCTGAGCTCATGCTGCTGCCCAGGAGCGCCGGGAGAGCCGTGGCTGTGCCGGCTGGGGCGGTTGTAGAGGAGGGGGAGGAGCAGGGGCCGGGTGGTGGTGCATGGGAGGGGATGGGAGGGGCGCGATTTAGGGTTTCAGGAGGCTCGGCTGGGGATTGTGTGAACAGTGTCACATGGCTCAGTGTAGATACGATTGTGGTATCGCATCGCTCGGGGAGGGTAGCCATAGCCACAGTGCACGATCTACGTAACCTCACCGGCCCGTTCCCGCTCGTTTTCGGCCCCCGGGCCGTCCTCTGCTCGTCCAGTCTCCTCGTGCCACGTGGCAGCAGCAGGCCGGGACTGTATCTGCTAGGAGCTATTGTCCTAGAGCCTGTCACACGGGTGATCTCAGTACCAGATTGGGCTAGGGGGACTCTGGGAAGTACCCTAGGAACTGGGGAGATTTCTGAAAATCAGAAAGGAGGCGTTGGTGAGGGAGGGTTGGAGAGCGGCTGGCGGGTTTCGTCTCTTGTGGAGCAGCCGGCGGTGGTCATGGTGCAGGTGTTAACTGAGGAAGGTAGACTGGGAGACGCGCTTGGGATAGCACGGGCTGCTGGCTTGCACGCGGACTTGGTGTTTAAGGCTGCTTGGACGAGCATGGGTGTGGGAATCGCGGTAGAAGGAGGGGGAGGAGGAGGAGCAGGGGCAGAAGGTGGGAGGTTGTTGGGAGACAGGAGACTCGATGGTAGGGACGATGAGAGCAAGGAAGATAGGAGCCAGGAGGAGAATGAAGAGGAGGAGAATAAGGAGGAGGAAGAGGAGGAGGTTAGTGCCATCACAGACTACTTGTCTCGGGTGTCTGACATCCCCTGGGTGGTGCGGGAGTGTGTGAGCGTGGTGTGCCGCACTGCCAAGGGCATGGAGCTGCTGCTTAGCCTGGGACTCAGAGCCACGAGCAGTCTCAAGGAAGAGACGCTTAAAGTAGCTGCTGCTGCTGCTGCTGTGGCAGCATCAGGTGATGGAGCAGGAGGAGAAAGGGTTGCAGGGGGAGGAGCAGGAGCAGCAGGAGGGGCAGGGGTTGCAGGGGGGGGAGCAGGAGCAGCAGGAGGGGCAGGAGGAGGAGCAGGAGGAGCAGGGGTTGCAGGGGGAGGAGCAGGAGCAGCAGGAGGGGCAGGAGGAGCATTGATTGTAGGGGCAAAACCAGAGACAGGGGCACAAGCAGCAGCTTCGGGAGATACTGTGACAATGGCGAGTGTGAAGCTATCAGGGGTCAAGCTGGCTCTTGTTCGAAGCCGGTTGCATCTTTTGTCCTTTCGTGACCGGCTACAGAGCTACCTCGCCCTCAACATGGGTCGGTATGACCCCAAACAGTACCGCATCTTTCGTCTTCTTCCCCTCCAGTCTGCGGCCCAGCGCTTTGCCTCTGCCGGCCGGATCTCAGCCCTCCACATCCTGCTACAACGGCACCCCTTCTCCCTCTCCCCTCACCTCCTCTCCCTCCTCTCCTCCCTCCCAGAAACCCTCCCTCCTCACTCCTACCGAGCCATACTCCCTGGGGCTTCCCCCCCGTCTGTGTCGCGAACCAGAGGGGCAGATTGGGTGGAAAGACAGGGGGTGCTGGAGATGATAGGAGCTGTACTGGCTGTAGCAGCTACAGATTCAGGTGCAGGGAAGCTTGTTAAAGCTGGATCCGGATTGGCTGTAGCCTTCGCTACAGAAGAGGTGGTGTTTCTCTTTCAGGGCTTTCAGTATCCTTCCAAGCCTGCGGTACAGGCTTGGTACCTCTCCCGAACCAGAGAGATTGAGGAACGGACGGGCCTGCTGCAGCATGCACTCGCTCTGCTGGACCTAGGCTTGGCAGCAGGTTTGGCGGAGGTTCGGAAGGTTATGGAGGACTATGCTGAGCTGAACAGAGTGGTTTATGGGGCGTGCGGGGCATATAGTAAGGAGGACGAGGAAGGGAGGGAGGAGGGGGATGAGGAGGGGAGGGAAGGAGAGGATGGCAGGAAAGAGCCAGAGGACAAAGAGAGGGGGAAAGGGGAGGGGAAAGAGGAGGAGCGAGAGGAGGGGCAGCAGCAACAATCTACCCTCACTTCTGTTTCTGCCCCCTCGGTCGCCCTAAAGCGAGCCGAGCTCACACTTTCCATCTGGCTACAGCTCCCAGTAATCGAACGGTTCAGATTCGTTCTCGGGCGGCCCCAGCCCTCATCCATCGTCTCACGCCTGCACGAGCGCGCCCTGCCAATCCTGTTCCGCCACCTGGCGTCCCCACAGGAGGTCTGGAGCCTCCTGGAGAAATGGCTGAGGGAAGAAATCGCCCCTGTGAAAGGCAGAATGGCGGTTTTCTCTTCCGTTGTCGCTGAAATGGCTAAGGGAAAGCACGGCTGCCTGTCTCTCACAAACTCCACTGTCCCCTCTCCCTCCACTACTCCCCTTCCCTCCTCCTCCACTTCCTCTTCTCCCTCCTCGTCTCCCTCTCCCCCTTTCTCTCTCTCGGACCTCGCCTCCCTCTCCCTCCACTGCCTCCCCCTCTCTGCCTCCACCTCTGAGTGGAGCTCCATGGCCTTCTTGCTCCGCTCCATTTTAGACTCTCACAAAACCGCAGCCCTTGCAGAACAGCAAAGCGCTAGAGCCCCTGCTGCTGGTGCAGCTGCTGGTGCTGCTGGGGGGAGGGGCAGGCGTGGGGGAGCTTTGGCCCGAGCCTCCGGCGCAGGCTTGGAGAAGCTAGGTTCGGAGCAGCAGGAGGCGGTGGCGAGTGCACTGCTATTGGTGGAGGCAGGAGCTGTGCTTGCCACGTATGAGCTCCCCACACCCTACGCATCCCTTGTCCAATCACGGAGCGACACGTCAGCAGCCCTCCACCTCCTCCGCAGCCTCCTCTCCGCCTTTGCCCGCCGCCAACCGCCCCCGGAGGATCCTGATTGGCTGGATCTCTTCCGCCACGTCAGCACACTGAAACACTCGTCTTTCCTCCCCCTTTCCCCGGACTCCCTCCCCGCGGAAATGGCTCGAGTGTTGCTGAGGGAAGGGAGGTTCGCTTTGGCCAGGCAGTTTCTGGGCAGTGGGGGTGGTGGGGGGAGAGGGAGGGGGGATGATGTGTGGCTGGAAGGGGATGCGGTGTTGAGTGAGGATCTGGTGGAGGCTCTCGTGATTGGGGCAGCAAGAAACTTTTTCTACTCGTCCACGACACTCGATTCTCCAGATGTAAGTTGGAGGGTAAAGAGGGGACGGAAAGGGACGTGTGGCTGGAGTGGGATGCGGTGTTGAGTGAGGATCGGGTGGAGGCGCTTGTCATTGGGGCCGCAAGGAATTTCTTCTACTCGTCCCTGACTCCCCGACACTTGATCCCCTTGTTGTGTTTCCCTCTCCCCCCCATCCCTCTGGCTCCCCTTATTGTGTTCCCCCCTCCCCCCCGTCCCTCTGTCTCCCCTTGTTGTGTTTCCCTCTCCCCCCATCCCTCTGGCTCCCCTTATTGTGTTCCCCCCTCCCCCCCGTCCCTCTGTCTCCCCTTGTTGTGTTTCCCTCTCCCCCCCATCCCTCTGGCTCCCCTTATTGTGTTCCCCCCTCCCCCCCGTCCCTCTGTCTCCCCTTGTTGTGTTTCCCTCTCCCCCCATCCCTCTGGCTCCCCTTATTGTGTTCCCCCCTCCCCCCCGTCCCTCTGTCTCCCCTTGTTGTGTTTCCCTCTCCCCCCCATCCCTCTGGCTCCCCTTATTGTGTTCCCCCCTCCCCCCCGTCCCTCTGTCTCCCCTTGTTGTGTTTCCCTCTCCCCCCCATCCCTCTGGCTCCCCTTATTGTGTTCCCCCCTCCCCCCGTCCCTCTGTCTCCCCTTGTTGTGTTTCCCTCTCCCCCCCATCCCTCTGGCTCCCCTTATTGTGTTCCCCCCTCCCCCCCGTCCCTCTGTCTCCCCTTGTTGTGTTTCCCTCTCCCCCCCATCCCTCTGGCTCCCCTTATTGTGTTCCCCCCTCCCCCCGTCCCTCTGTCTCCCCTTGTTGTGTTTCCCTCTCCCCCCATCCCTCTGGCTCCCCTTATTGTGTTCCCCCCTCCCCCCCGTCCCTCTGTCTCCCCTTGTTGTGTTTCCCTCTCCCCCCCATCCCTCTGGCTCCCCTTATTGTGTTCCCCTCTCCCCCCCATCCCTCTGGCTCCCCTTATTGTGTTCCCCCCTCCCCCCGTCCCTCTGTCTCCCCTTGTTGTGTTTCCCTCTCCCCCCATCCCTCTGGCTCCCCTTATTGTGTTCCCCCCTCCCCCCGTCCCTCTGTCTCCCCTTGTTGTGTTTCCCTCTCCCCCCATCCCTCTGGCTCCCCTTATTGTGTTCCCCCTCCCCCCGTCCCTCTGTCTCCCCTTGTTGTGTTTCCCTCTCCCCCCCATCCCTCTGGCTCCCCTTATTGTGTTCCCCCCTCCCCCCCGTCCCTCTGTCTCCCCTTGTTGTGTTTCCCTCTCCCCCCCATCCCTCTGGCTCCCCTTATTGTGTTCCCCCCTCCCCCCCGTCCCTCTGTCTCCCCTTGTTGTGTTTCCCTCTCCCCCCATCCCTCTGGCTCCCCTTATTGTGTTCCCCCCTCCCCCCCGTCCCTCTGTCTCCCCTTGTTGTGTTTCCCTCTCCCCCCCATCCCTCTGGCTCCCCTTATTGTGTTCCCCCCTCCCCCCCGTCCCTCTGTCTCCCCTTGTTGTGTTTCCCTCTCCCCCCCATCCCTCTGGCTCCCCTTATTGTGTTCCCCCCTCCCCCCCGTCCCTCTGTCTCCCCTTGTTGTGTTTCCCTCTCCCCCCCATCCCTCTGGCTCCCCTTATTGTGTTCCCCCCTCCCCCCCGTCCCTCTGTCTCCCCTTGTTGTGTTTCCCTCTCCCCCCCATCCCTCTGGCTCCCCTTATTGTGTTCCCCCCTCCCCCCGTCCCTCTGTCTCCCCTTGTTGTGTTTCCCTCTCCCCCCCATCCCTCTGGCTCCCCTTATTGTGTTCCCCCCTCCCCCCGTCCCTCTGTCTCCCCTTGTTGTGTTTCCCTCTCCCCCCCATCCCTCTGGCTCCCCTTATTGTGTTCCCCCCTCCCCCCCGTCCCTCTGTCTCCCCTTGTTGTGTTTCCCTCTCCCCCCCATCCCTGTGGCTCCCCTTATTGTGTTCCCCCCTCCCCCCCGTCCCTCTGTCTCCCCTTGTTGTGTTTCCCTCTCCCCCCCATCCCTCTGGCTCCCCCTATTGTGTTCCCCTCTCCCCCCCATCCCTCTGGCTCCCCTTATTGTGTTCCCCCTCCCCCCCGTCCCTCTGTCTCCCCTTGTTGTGTTTCCCTCTCCCCCCCATCCCTCTGGCTCCCCTTATTGTGTTCCCCCTCCCCCCCGTCCCTCTGTCTCCCCTTGTTGTGTTTCCCTCTCCCCCCCATCCCACTGGCCCGCCTTATTGTGTTCCCCCCTCCCCCCCGTCCCTCTGTCTCCCCTTGTTGTGTTTCCCTCTCCCCCCCATCCCTCTGGCTCCCCTTATTGTGTTCCCCCCTCCCCCCGTCCCTCTGTCTCCCCTTGTTGTGTTTCCCTCTCCCCCCATCCCTCTGGCTCCCCTTATTGTGTTCCCCCCTCCCCCCCGTCCCTCTGTCTCCCCTTGTTGTGTTTCCCTCTCCCCCCCATCCCTCTGGCTCCCCTTATTGTGTTCCCCCCTCCCCCCCGTCCCTCTGTCTCCCCTTGTTGTGTTTCCCTCTCCCCCCCATCCCTCTGGCTCCCCTTATTGTGTTCCCCCCTACCCCCCGTCCCTCTGTCTCCCCTTGTTGTGTTTCCCTCTCCCCCCCATCCCTCTGGCTCCCCTTATTGTGTTCCCCCCTCCCCCCCGTCCCTCTGTCTCCCCTTGTTGTGTTTCCCTCTCCCCCCCATCCCTCTGGCTCCCCTTATTGTGTTCCCCCCTCCCCCCCGTCCCTCTGTCTCCCCTTGTTGTGTTTCCCTCTCCCCCCCATCCCTCTGGCTCCCCTTATTGTGTTCCCCCCTCCCCCCCGTCCCTCTGTCTCCCCTTGTTGTGTTTCCCTCTCCCCCCCATCCCTCTGGCTCCCCTTATTGTGTTCCCCCCTACCCCCCGTCCCTCTGTCTCCCCTTGTTGTGTTTCCCTCTCCCCCCATCCCTCTGGCTCCCCTTATTGTGTTCCCCCTCCCCCCGTCCCTCTGTCTCCCCTTGTTGTGTTTCCCTCTCCCCCCATCCCTCTGGCTCCCCTTATTGTGTTCCCCCCTCCCCCCCGTCCCTCTGTCTCCCCTTGTTGTGTTTCCCTCTCCCCCCATCCCTCTGGCTCCCCTTATTGTGTTCCCCCCTCCCCCCGTCCCTCTGTCTCCCCTTGTTGTGTTTACCTCTCCCCCCCATCCCTCTGGCTCCCCTTATTGTGTTCCCCCCTCCCCCCCGTCCCTCTGCCTCCCCTTGTTGTGTTTCCCTCTCCCCCCCATCCCTCTGGCTCCCCTTATTGTGTTCCCCTCTCCCCCCCATCCCTCTGGCTCCCCTTATTGTGTTCCCCCCTCCCCCCCGTCCCTCTGTCTCCCCTTGTTGTGTTTCCCTCTCCCCCCCATCCCTCTGGCTCCCCTTATTGTGTTCCCCCCTCCCCCCCGTCCCTCTGTCTCCCCTTGTTGTGTTTCCCTCTCCCCCCCATCCCTCTGGCTCCCCTTATTGTGTTCCCCCTCCCCCCCGTCCCTCTGTCTCCCCTTGTTGTGTTTCCCTCTCTCCCCCATCCCTCTGGTTCCCCTTATTGTGTTCCCCCCTCCCCCCCGTCCCTCTGTCTCCCCTTGTTGTGTTTCCCTCTCCCCCCCATCCCTCTGGCTCCCCTTATTGTGTTCCCCCCTCCCCCCGTCCCTCTGTCTCCCCTTGTTGTGTTTCCCTCTCTCCCCCATCCCTCTGGCTCCCCTTATTGTGTTCCCCCTCCCCCCCGTCCCTCTGTCTCCCCTTGTTGTGTTTCCCTCTCTCCCCCATCCCTCTGGCTCCCCTTATTGTGTTCCCCCTCCCCCCCGTCCCTCTGTCTCCCCTTGTTGTGTTTCCCTCTCCCCCCCATCCCTCTGGCTCCCCTTATTGTGTTCCCCCTCCCCCCCGTCCCTCTGTCTCCCCTTGTTGTGTTTCCCTCTCCCCCCCATCCCTCTGGCTCCCCTTATTGTGTTCCCCCCTACCCCCCGTCCCTCTGTCTCCCCTTGTTGTGTTTCCCTCTCCCCCCATCCCTCTGGCTCCCCTTATTGTGTTCCCCCCTCCCCCCCGTCCCTCTGTCTCCCCTTGTTGTGTTTCCCTCTCCCCCCCATCCCTCTGGCTCCCCTTATTGTGTTCCCCCCTCCCCCCCGTCCCTCTGTCTCCCCTTGTTGTGTTTCCCTCTCCCCCCCATCCCTCTGGCTCCCCTTATTGTGTTCCCCCCTCCCCCCCGTCCCTCTGTCTCCCCTTGTTGTGTTTCCCTCTCCCCCCCATCCCTCTGGCTCCCCTTATTGTGTTCCCCCCTCCCCCCCGTCCCTCTGTCTCCCCTTGTTGTGTTTCCCTCTCCCCCCCATCCCTCTGGCTCCCCTTATTGTGTTCCCCCCTCCCCCCCGTCCCTCTGTCTCCCCTTGTTGTGTTTCCCTCTCCCCCCCATCCCTCTGGCTCCCCTTATTGTGTTCCCCTCTCCCCCCATCCCTCTGGCTCCCCTTATTGTGTTCCCCCCTCCCCCCGTCCCTCTGTCTCCCCTTGTTGTGTTTCCCTCTCCCCCCCATCCCTCTGGCTCCCCTTATTGTGTTCCCCCCTCCCCCCGTCCCTCTGTCTCCCCTTGTTGTGTTTCCCTCTCCCCCCCATCCCTCTGGCTCCCCTTATTGTGTTCCCCCTCCCCCCCGTCCCTCTGTCTCCCCTTGTTGTGTTTCCCTCTCCCCCCCATCCCTCTGGCTCCCCTTATTGTGTTCCCCCCTCCCCCCCGTCCCTCTGTCTCCCCTTGTTGTGTTTCCCTCTCCCCCCCATCCCTCTGGCTCCCCTTATTGTGTTCCCCTCTCCCCCCCATCCCTCTGGCTCCCCTTATTGTGTTCCCCCTCCCCCCCGTCCCTCTGTCTCCCCTTGTTGTGTTTCCCTCTCCCCCCCATCCCTCTGGCTCCCCTTATTGTGTTCCCCCCTCCCCCCCGTCCCTCTGTCTCCCCTTGTTGTGTTTCCCTCTCCCCCCCATCCCTCTGGCTCCCCTTATTGTGTTCCCCCCTCCCCCCGTCCCTCTGTCTCCCCTTGTTGTGTTTCCCTCTCCCCCCCATCCCTCTGGCTCCCCTTATTGTGTTCCCCCCTCCCCCCCGTCCCTCTGTCTCCCCTTGTTGTGTTTCCCTCTCCCCCCCATCCCTCTGGCTCCCCTTATTGTGTTCCCCCCTCCCCCCCGTCCCTCTGTCTCCCCTTGTTGTGTTTCCCTCTCTCCCCCATCCCTCTGGTTCCCCTTATTGTGTTCCCCCCTCCCCCCCGTCCCTCTGTCTCCCCTTGTTGTGTTTCCCTCTCCCCCCCATCCCTCTGGCTCCCCTTATTGTGTTCCCCCCTCCCCCCCGTCCCTCTGTCTCCCCTTGTTGTGTTTCCCTCTCTCCCCCATCCCTCTGGCTCCCCTTATTGTGTTCCCCCCTCCCCCCCGTCCCTCTGTCTCCCCTTGTTGTGTTTCCCTCTCCCCCCCATCCCTCTGGCTCCCCTTATTGTGTTCCCCCCTCCCCCCCGTCCCTCTGTCTCCCCTTGTTGTGTTTCCCTCTCCCCCCATCCCTCTGGCTCCCCTTATTGTGTTCCCCCCTACCCCCGTCCCTCTGTCTCCCCTTGTTGTGTTTCCCTCTCTCACAGATCCACAGCGCGCTCCCCTGTCTGTACATCCTCCCGTGCAACCCAGCAGCAGCAGCCCAGTATCCGTCCGTCCTTCCTCATTGTTCCTCCACGCCCCTCTCCCACCCCCTGCTTTTCCCTCTCCCTCAGATTCACAGCGCGTTCGCCTGTCTGGACATTCTCCCGCGCAACCCAGCAGCAGCAGCCGAGCGCCGCCTCTTCTCAGCCCTCGTGGTGGACCTCCCCGCCTGCCACCTGCACCTGCTGCCACTGCAGCTGCGCCAAACCCGCGACCGCCTCGATATCATACACCAAGTGCTCAACCTCTCCCCCTTCCCCTCCATCCCCTCCGTCACCTCCTCCTCCTCCTTCTCCTCCTCCTCACCGTTCACCCCAGTCTTTTCCATTGATTTGGCAAGCACAGGTGCGCCTGAGATCCTCACCCTTGCTTGGAAATTAGGGCTGACGTCAGCAGCGGATGAAGGGAGGGTGCTGGAAGCTGTGGCTAGGGCGGCAGCAGCGAGGGCGGATCTGAGGACGGCCAGACTGGTGGTTCAGGAGCTTATGGGTCGGAATTTTGCAGGGATTTGGGATCTATGTGCGGCTTTGGCTAGGGGACCTGCTAGTAGGGGGGGGAGGGGGGGCATAGGGAGCAGGGGAGTGGGGGTGGGGGGTTTGGGGAGGCAAGGGGGGAGGCTGGAGCGTGGGGGGCAGGGGCGGTTGCAGCAGGGGAAGCTGTCCAGGTCAGCTGTAGAGTTGGGTTTGGGAGAAGGGAAAAGGGGGGATAGGAGGGGGGGAGGTTTGGGAGCTGGGGATGGCTTGAGGCGGAAAGGGGGGCAGGTGTTGGAGAGGATAGACAGGAGTGAAGATGGGTTGAGCAGTAGTGGCAGCAGTATGAGTGGGAGTAGCAGTGGTACTAGTCTTAGCGCCATGATAGGAGGAGCAGCAGCATCTGCCACTGATCTTTCTGCTGATGTCAGCATGGATGATTCCGCCAGCAGCGCAGCAAGCACTGCTGACGTGGACGCTGCTGCAGATGCTGACGTGGATGACGGCTCCGATGACATCAGCATGCCGATACGGAGGGAATTTTTAGGGTTTGCTCTGGCCCACTGCGATGAAGCTTCCCTCCCGGACCTCCTAGCCTCGTGGCAAGGCTTGGACGCCACAGAACGGTGCGTGGCGCTAGGTGCGGCGACAGGCTTGGTAGTCCCGGGCCTGAGGGAGCAGGAGGCTCTTCTCCCGGACCTAGCTGCAGGACGAGCCTCGGGCAAGTGGGAAGGTACGGAAGTGCTGGTAATTCCCGAAGCTGCTACAGCCGTTGCAGCTGGTGGAAGTGGCAGCAGGGGGAAGGGTGGGAGTTGTGGTATTGGTGTTGGGAGAAAGCTGGCTAGTTTGGGTGGGGGGCGAGGGGCGATAGGGAGGGATGTGGGGCGGAGGGCACTGGCGCTGGTGTCTAGTGATGGGGAGGCGTGGGGGATCAGGCAGTGGGAGGAGGTGCCTCGCCTGCTGCTGCCGTTCGCATGCCTTCACCTGCCGTGGATGCTCCAGGTAAAAACCCGCCGCGCCGCTGCTGCTGCCGCAGCGGCAGCTGCTTCGTCGTCTGCTGCTGCTAGAACAGGAGCCGCAACAGCAGCAGCAGGTGTAGGAGGGGCAGCAGGAGGGGCATCAGCGGTGGCGGCAGCGGCAGCGGCTGCTGATCCGATAGTGGAGCAGATCGTGGTGCTGATTCTCCACGTGCTCGCATCGTGCCAGGTGTCACCTTCCGATAAGCTCCTGATCGAAGCAGCCCGGAGCGCGTTAACCGCGGGAGACATAGTCTCTGCTGCTGCTGCATCAGCAGGGTTAGGGGGAACTGCAGCAGGGGTAGGAGGAACAGCATTAGCAAGAGGAGGGGGAGCAGCAGCAGCAGCAGGAGAAGGAGGGGGGGAAGCATTAGGGGTAGCAGGGGCAGGAGAGGGGAGGGAGGCCAACCCTACCGCCGCTGTTGCAGCTGCTGAGGTGGCAGCGTGCGATTCGCTGGCGATGGCGTTCTTGTTACAGGCTGGGGACGCAGTGAGAGCAGCGGGTGTGATAGACGCAGAGATGGCGAAGCGGGAGGGGGCGGATGCGAAGCGGCGATTCGTGTTGCTGCTGCTGCAGTTCTCAAGCCTCCATGCCACGCTCTTCCTGCTGGCTTCTCAGGTAGGACCAGGGCATTGCAGGCTGGCTGGTATGAGGTGACTTTTGAGTCGACTCAAAAGTCAGGGCATTGCAGGCTGTTTGAGTCGACTCAAAAATCGACTCATTACACTCAGGTAGGACCAGGGCATTGCAGGCTGGCTGGTATGCCCTAGATACCAGGAGGGCATTCTAGGGGTTCGTCGTGGCTATGCCCCGCGTTGCAAGTTCACTCCAGGTGCCATATCTCTCCATCTCTCCCTTTTCCGAGGTCTCTTGAGTCGACTCAAAAGTCACTTGTTTGTACCTTGCAGACCAACAACGCGTAATACCTATTGAGGCACCTCAAAGGTTGGCCCTCTTGCTTCTGTTTCCTTGCTTGCCATGCTTTCTCCCATCTCCCCCTGCAGGCCAACGAGGCGGCCTTTGTCGGCTCGCTGCTGCTGCTGCCCCCAGTGCTGCTTGCTGGTGTGGCAGGGGAAGCTTCCAGGAAGGAGGAGCAGCTGGGGGAGACAGGGGCGCTGGGGTCCAGGCCAGCAGTGAAAACCTCTGGTGAGTCTTCTGGTGCAATAGAGCGCATGTGGGTAGCAACAGATCTCAGGTGGGTAGCAACAGATCTCAGGTGGGTAGCAACAGATCTCAGGTGGGTAGCGATAGATATCAGGTGGGTAGCAACAGAGCTAATGTGGGTAGCACTGAGCTCAGGTGAGCAGCAACAGAGCTCAGGGGAGTCGCAACAGAGCTCAGGTGAGTAGCACAGAGCTCAGGTTCTATCCCCCACCGCATTTTGTGTTCCATCCCCCCACTGCATTTCGTGTCCTATCCCCCCACCCCCCGCCCGCCCTCTCCCCCCTTCCCCTGCCTGCACTTTCCTTCGCAGCCCGAGCCCGCCAGCTGTGCAAGCGGTGGTGTGAGGTGGCGCTGACGATGCAGGGGCGCCTGCGAGTGGTGGAGGACACGCGGGCGCTGAGCGCGCTGCTGCCCCACGCTGACGTGGCACGCTTCGTGGCGCGTGACGTGGCGTACATGGAGGCCGCTATCGCCTCATTGGTCGACACTGCCAACACGGCCAGCAACACCGGCAGCACCAGTAGTGCTCCCAGGGCTTCCAATAATGCTGCTGTGGCCAATTCTGATTCACTCGGCCCGATGCCGCAGGCCCTTGCTTCTGCCCTCTCATTGGCTGAGCTCTACCATGTTGACAGCTGGCAGGTGAGGATTGGTGACATAATTTCTTTCTTCTCACCACATAATTGAAGTTTTTTTGCAAAAAATATGTCCGTCGCAAGTTTTTTTCTGTAAATTCGTCCGTTAAAGGATATGCTGCCTATTCTCCATTTTGTCCCATGTGGTGCAGGTTCACCTGACCTATGTCCGCTCCGTGCTGCTCTCTGATTGGCCCGAGCAAGATATCATTGCTGAGGTGGAGGCACACAAATCCGACATCTGTACTCGCCCCACTGCAGCCTTCTCCTCCCTCTGGTCCTCCGTGCTTCCCCGCCTTCTCACTCAAATACAGCCAAAACTACACACACAGACATGCCCCCCCACACTCCCCATCCTCACTCCCTACCTCCTTCGCCTCCTCTCCCACTGCCTCCACGCCACCCTCTCCCCTTCTCCCCCTTCCTCCTCCTCCCTCATCCCCTCCCCTCCTCTCTCCCGCCCTCTCGCACTCCCTCTCCCTCCCTCCCCTGTCACCGCACTCAACACCTTCCTATCATCAGCACAGAGTGCCTCCTCCCTCGCTCTCAGACTCTCTCTCTTGGCAAACCAGATTGAGAAGGCAGGGGCGCTTAAGCCCCCCTTGAATGGGTGGGTCCTTCTGGGGGCGGCTGTTTCTGGTGCAGGGGTATCTGGAGGGGGAGAAAGTGGGGGCGTTGCTAGTTCTGGCTGTGCAGCTGCAGCAGCGGCAGTGGCAGGAGGGGATGGTGAAGTTGCTAAGGAGGTGGAGGGAGCGGTTGAGAGGGAGGTAGAGCGGTGCTTTGACGGGTCTTCAGTGCTTGCTGCTGCTGATGTCATCGCGACTCTCACTGCCGCTTCAGCAGCATCACCTAACGCAGCAGGGCCGGCAGAGGCAGGAGGTTTAGAAGACCCAGCCATACAAGGCCACTTTGACCAGGGGCACCTGCTGTGGCTCTTTGCTAAGAGCCAGTTGCGACAGGCTGGCGTGCTCGGAGAGAATAACAGTGCCGGCGGCATGAAGGAGGGACTAAGCCTAGAGGGGCTCCAGTCTGCTCGGGTAGCCATGTCTGGGTTCTTGCCTCTGCTTTTGGAGGGAAAGCGGAGGGAGTTTACTGCCCTGCTGCTGCAGGGATGCGAGCGGCTCATTCTGCAGAGTGCCTTGAGCGATTGTGACAGAAATGGAAGTGATTCTGGAAGAGGTGGTGCTATTAGCGGTGGTAAGGGAGGGAGGGAAGGGAGGGGGAGAGGTGGGAGGGATGGAGGAGCGGTTAAGAGGGGTGTAGAGCTGTGGCTTGATGTTGTGGGCGATTGGATGGGGTGTGGTGGTGGGAGAACGGAGGAGAAGGAAGAGGAGGAGAGAGAGGAGAGGGAGGAGAGGGAGGAGAGTGTGGTTGAGTGTGGGAGGTGCGTTCAGAAGCTGTTGACCAATGGGGTCGTGACACGTCAGCAAGGCGTGCTGCTGCTGCGGTTCCTCTCTGATTCGCTGCTGAATCCAAAGGGGGGGCCTCAGAATTCAACCTCTGCTGCTTGCTCCTTACCCAATTTTTTAATGCGCCAGATGGTGCTTTTAGGCTGCCCCTTGCTCGCTCTGGTCACTGTAGCACAGGCCACACACGGCCGCGACAGCTGGCGGCTCCCCACTGGTCGAAAAAGTCGAGCCCGGCTTACAGCAGCAGCCAATGGGGGGGTGAGTGGAGCAGGTAGGAAAGCTGGGAGAGGAGTAGCAGCAGCGTCAGGTGCTGGTTCCAGGAAGCTTCCTGGTGATGCTGGCAGTGAGACCGGGAGCACGGGCGGCGAACAGGAGGAGTTGGCCATGAGTGACGTCAGCAGGGCAGAGAGTAGGCGGGGAAGAGGTGCGAAGGGAGTGGGAGGCAGGGCGGGTAAGGGTGGTAAGATTAGGGATGGGAAACGTGTAGATGAAGGGGAAGAGGAGGAGGAAGGAGGGAAGGTGGAGGAGGACCCGATGGATTTGTTTGCTTCTATGGGCTTGGTTTCCTCTGCTCCTCGTTCTGCTGCTGCTGCTCCTGCTTCTGGCACTGGTAAGGCAGCTGCTTCCAAGAAGAAACCTCTGGTAGTCTCCAAACCTGCTGGCAGGCTCGGGGCGGTCCGAACCAGAGGTTCGACAGCTCTGGCTGTAGCTCCTGCCGAATCGGAAGCACAGGCACGGAAGCAGGGGGGCATGTCACCTGCTGCTTCTGGTTCACAAGCAGGCTCGGGAACAGGCTCGGCCCCAGGCTCGATGCATGGCTCGGTGGAATCACTCCCAGACCTGGCAGCAGGCGCTGTCTTATCCCCAGTTCCAGGTGGTCGTTCAGGTGATTTTTCAGGTGCCGTTTCAGGTGCCGTTTCAGGTGCCCTGTCTGTTGGAGTTACATCTGGGGAGGGCGGGCAGATGACTATGGACTTTGCTGCAGGTGCTTCTGGAGACGAAGCCCCTGTCTCCTCCCCACAGCCTCAACCACTGGCTCCCCCTGCTGCTGCTTTTGCTGCTGCTGATGCTGAAGCTGCTGCTGCTGCTCCAGGTGCTTCCCGCCCTGAAATCAGCATTTCGGGGCTTTACTTGTCAGTCTTGAAAGAGATCACGTGTGGGAAGGTACAAGATGGGGAGGAGGGGGCGCATCATCCAGACAGGCTTGCTCAGGCAGTCATGAGGGTGATTCTCTCGCTGGTAGAACCAAGGGTGGGGGACGCATGGCAGGTACTGAGAGAGGGAGAAGCAAGCGAGGCAGGTGAGAGGGAGGAGGAGGAGAACGGGTGGGGGTTGGGTTCTCTAGAGGATGAGGGAGATAATGGGGAAGGTTTTACTGGGGAGGATGAGGAGGAGGAGAGCACTCGGGAGCATTTTGCGCTTCTTTTAGCTGGTGTTAGGAGTGCTATTTGGAGGCAGCTGGTCCGCTTGGGAAGCAAGCAAGGGGAGGGTGCAGGTTCCCACCCATTAAGTGCCACCCTAAGTGCCACAATTAGAGGGGTGGTGCTGGATGCAGTGAGGGCTGTGGCTCCAGTTTCGTCAGACCTATCAGCACCTGCCACGTGGCTCTCAGAGAGAGGGTATTTCATAGATGCTGTAGGGCTTGGGGGGATGACGAGGGGTGTGGAGGGGTGCTGGGGATTGTGGGAGTTGGAAGAGGGGGGAGAGGAGGAGGAGACAGAGGAAGAGAACAGTGCGGGAGGCCTTGCTATAGACAGGTGGCGATGGACTGCCCTGCGGTCACGGGCAATCGTGCAGTCTGATTGGCCGGGAGCGGTTGCTGACGTGGTGCCGCTGTTGGATGACGCAGCAGCGGACGGTAGCTTCGGGAGCATTGGCTCGGCTGTCGAGTCTTTCAAGCGAGCTTTCTTCATGCTTGAAATGGGGGCAGACGAGAGGGGAGCGGGGGAGAGGGGCGCAAATAACAGGGGGCAGGGGGGGAGGGGGACAGGCACATTGCATACTCAGACTCAGCATCAGCAGCAGCAGCAGCATCGTCAGCTGTCCCTCTTGGCTCTTCTCGCCCTCTGGGACCCACTTCTTGCTCCTAAATGGTGCCATCCCACGGCCACTCCAGGCGCTGCTGCTGCTAGTGGGTCCTCCTCCTCTTCTGCCGCTGCTGCCGCAGCTGCTGCGGGGCTGCATCCGCTGCACGATTGCTGGTTCCTCCCACTCCGTCGCTGCGCTCTCTCAGTGTCACAAGCTGGCGATCACAGCAGCAGCAGTGGCAATCATGTAGAGGCGGGTGTAGCAGCAGCACGGGCGGACCTTCTCCTGCCGTCACTCCTCCTGGCTGCTCTTGACGCTGCCGCCTTTCTTCCGTCTGGGAAGCGAGCCGCTGGCAGAATGCTGCTGTCTCGAGACGAAGCAGAGCAGCTCCTATCAGACACCGCTGCTGCTGGGAGTAGCAGCAGTAGCAGCAGTACCAGGACTTGCAGGAGAGATGGCAGCAGCAACAGCAAGGGTGGTGGTGGGGGAGGAGAGGAGGTAGGCCCGAGTGCGGCCTCTAGAGCTGCGTTGTTCATGCTGAAAATAGCCCTTCTGCTTCCGTACCCCCAGATTTGGCTGCAATCAATGCAGCTGCTTAAAGTGGCTGCTGCTGCTGAGGCTGATGCTGCTGGTAAGGGGAGAGCCAGAGGAGGGTGGGGCGAAGGGTGGGGGGGAGATGAGGAGGAGGAGGAAGAGGATGAGGAAGAGGAGGGATATGGTGATGAGGAAGATTCGTTCTATGATGAGGATTATAGTGATGATGATGGGGGGCGGGTGGGAACCCGTCGAAGGAAGGGAGGGCAAAGAGGGAGGGGAGGAAAGGAGCACAGCCCGCCCTTGGATTATGAGGCTCTGACGCTGCTGCTGGCGGCTGACATCGTGAGACAGATGGCGGATGCTCATTCGGCGGTGGTTCGGCCGCTGCTGGGAGCCATGGCTCGTATTATCCCCCCTCTGGCTGTCAAGCTGCAGCAGGAGAGAAGAGGGGAGAGAGAAGGGGGGGAGAGGGGGGAGGTGGAGAGAGGGGAGGTGGAGGGGAGGAAGGGAGTGAGAGGGAGTGAGGAGAGGGAGAAGGAAACGAGGCTTGGAAGAGGGATGGGGGAGAGGGAGTGGGTGGAGGATGATGAGGAGGAAGATTTCGATGCGTGGGACAGTGGTGGTGGTAGTGGTAGTGGTGCTGCCGGGTTGCAGAAGGGGAGTGAGCAGCAGGGGGGGCAGAGGAAAGGCATGCTGGGCTCGCTGCTTTCTCATATCAGCGCCCTTGCACCTTTGCCTGGTGGGGACGGGGACGGTGACAGTAACGAAGAGGATGATGACAATAACGAGTATAACAGCAGGAGGTCTGGGGACAGGAGCAGGGGTGAGGGGAACAGCAAGAGAGACCATGCGGAAGCAGCAATTGTGAGTGCTGCTGGGAGCAGCACACGCAACAGCAGCACACTTCCTCCTCCTCTCTACCGTACAGCCTTCCCCCATTTTGTCGCGTCCCTCACAGCAGCGAGACAGTACGAGCTCGCCGCCCCGCTCGCCCTGCAGTTTCTGGGCAGGCCAACTTTTTCCCGCGACTGGGCAGCTTCTCGGGCAGCCCTGAAGGAATTTCTGGTGGGTGAGCTGAGGGCTGTGGAGGCGGCAGGATCTGGGAAGGTGGAACCGGGGCAGGTCGTAACTGGTGTTACAACTCCAGCAGATCGATCGAGAGGGGGATTGCAGCAAACTGGGGTTTCAAGAAGTGATACTAAGGAGAGCAGTGGTGGTGGTTGTGACTATAGCGAAGGGGAGTTCCCGTATCTCTCTGGAGCGTTGTTTCACATTAGTGTCAACCTTCCGGACGTGTTGCTTCTCGGGTTGCAGATGTTACAGATTGATGGTTAGGGGTTCGTTCTCTCTAATACTCCATTATTTCATGGGTAAAATGCTAGTGCAGCTAACAGATTTCCCTGGTCAAAGCTTGTGTTCTTTGGTTGACAGCAAACAGATTTCCCCCTCGCTTTAGATCAAACAGCATCTACAGGCGGTAACAAGTTCCGATGTAATTGGTTGATATATCTCAACGGACAAACTACTCCGCCCAGCAAACGCTCTGCCCAGGGCAGAAACAATCAACCCCTAGGGGCCCCGGCACGCGACTCGGGGTGGCATCAACCCTAAACTCGCGGATGCCTGCCGCGAGGTAAGGGTTGATGCCACCCTGATTCGCGTGCCGGGTCCCCTAGGGGTTTATTGTTTTTTCTTGCCCGGGCCAGCGCGACGGGGTGCGACGGGCGTCGAAGCCCCGTCGGCGGCTAGTCCGTTGAGAGATACCGGACAGAAGTGCCTACTGGTAATCCGTGTGGTGCTTGGGCTCTCTTTTCCAGCCAGCAATTATACCTCATTGGTGCAGGCAGACATTCCTTTATTTGGAACACATTGCACACAACGATTACATTAGAAACCAACCCCAAGCAAAGCTGCAAAACTGAGCATTCTTTCCAGCCCACAGGATGGAATGTGTAAAATAATACCTCGAGACCTTTTCCCCCAGTCTCTTTTCGGCTACATACAGAAAGTGCCTTTGGCCACAGCCTATGCTACAGCCAGACACGGCATAACCAGATCGGTCTTCTTCTTCTTAGGAGGCGACTCCGGTTGCTGCTCTTCCTCCCCCTGACTCCTCTTCCCCGCACTCCCGCTCCCCACCACCACACTCGCTTGCTCCACACACGTGGTAACACGGTTACCACCCTTCTGGTTACCACCTGTCTGGTTACCACCGGTGTTCTCCTCATAAGCTGCTGAGTGCACGCCCAGAGCAGCTCGGCCAGAGGGGTCCAGATTCCCCTGCCAGGCTGCGTCCCATGCTACAGCCGCTGCCGTGCTACAGGCGACGCTGGGACCGCCAGGCACAGTCAAACGAGCAGACAGCTGTAGCACAGATGGGAGTGGGAAAAGGAAGAGAGGAGAGAGCCTCCCTAGAATTGACAAGTTGTCACCAGAGGAAAGTTATAAGAGAAAAATTAGAACATGGCTACTTTCAAATATAAGCCTGCCTGTCGTCACGGCAGGCAGCTTGTCTTTGACAAGTAGAACATGGCTACTTAGGTCTTAGGCACGTTGTGCGTGAAGAGATGGGGCACGTTCACTTGAGATCCAGCGCCATCCGCTCCGCATGCGCCTCTGATGGCCGTCATTTGGTCCGAGGTGAAGGGGGAGGGAGTGTCAGGAGAAGTGACACGAGGACTAGCAGACCCTCACCTGGCCAGCAGCAGCTTACACACAGCAGCAGTCGGCATATCTCAGGGAGAAACTGGCCCACGAATTGAGAGTCTCACCTGAGGAAAGTGCTTCTCAAAGATAAGCCGGCAGAAGAGGGCTTCCTTGGTCTTGGGGGTGTTGTGCGTGAAGAGGTGCGGCGCGTTGGCCATCACTTGGTCCGACACCATCCGCTCCGCATGCGCCTCGGATGACCATCATTCGGTCCGAGTTGGGGGGGGGAGGGGGGACAAGTGAAGTGACACGAGGACTAACAGGCCCTTACCTGGGGGAAATGCTTCTCAAAGATGAGCCGGTAGAAGAGCGCTTCCTTGGTCTGGGGCGTGTTGTGTGTGAACAGGTGGGGCGCATTGGCCATCATCTGGTCCGACACCATCCGCTCAGCATGTGCCTTGAGCCCGTCGATCCAGCTGTAACCCACGCCATCGCTGAACTGCTCCTTCTGACGGTAGAGAATGTGCTGGTAACAGGTATGGAGGGGAGGGGGAGAGGCATGGGTGTACGGAAGGGGAGAAGAGATGAGCCGGTCGATCCAGCTGCACCCCACCCGGTCGCCGAACTGGTCCTTCTGGCGGTAGAGAATGCTGCTGCTACCACCAAAAAGAAAAAAGAAGAAAAAAAGACTATCACAGAAATACATTTTGGGTAGGTAAGGCTTCTCAGCATCCTCGAAAGCTGTAGGTGATTTTTTAGGGTTCTAAAAGAGCACCTACAACATTAATCGGCATTAATAGGAGAACATACCTTGGGTAGGTAAGGCTTCTCTACATCATCGAAAGCTCGCCGGATGACCCACTTCTCAATGCGCCCGTCCTCTTTACGAATCATCTTATAGTGAGGATCGATGCCCATCGCCACATCCAGAAATTCCTTGTCCAAGAAGGGCACCCGCGCCTCCAATCCCCACGCTGACGTGGCCTTGTTGGCGCGCAGGCAGTCGTACATGTGGAGAGCCTTTAGCTGATTGGGAAGAGGGTATGAACAAGGGAGGTGTGCACTGAGCTGATTATAACGAGTATGGAGGGGAGGTAAGGCAGGAGAAGGATATCGCAAGTGAGGGAGAGGGGTTGGTTAGAAATGTAGGAGTTGTCAGAAAATTGGTAAGGCAGTGATTTTTGTGAATTCTCAAAAAACAACTCTCTGGAAAGGCATTGCATGGGTTGTGGAATCTGCAGGGGCTGCTGCCTAGCTGATGCACTCTGCATTCTCATCACCAAGATGACCTCCCAAACTCTTCTCCCTTCCCTTATATACCTTATGACACGTCTCCACGTGGAACTCTTCCTTGCTGGGCGCCTTGTGGAAGTACAGGTACCCCCCAAACACCTCGTCGCTGCCTTCCCCAGATAGCACCATCTTCACTCCCAGGGCTTTAATCTTCCGGCTGAGGAGAAACATGGGCGTGCTGGCGCGAATGGTAGTGACGTCGTACGTCTCGGTGTGGTAGACCACTTCAGAGATGGCGTCGATGCCCTCTTGCACGGTGAAGTGCAGCTCGTGGTGGTTCGTGCCGATGTAGTCCGCCACTTCCCTGGCTGCCCGCAGGTCAGGGGCGCCCTGACAAAAGTAAAATGAAAAAAGGGTGCGGGAAGAGGAAAAGAGAGGGGGGGAGGGAGGGATAGAGTGCATGGAAAGTGCATGAAGCGCGCGTGGATGGCGATGACATCGTAGATGACTCCGGAAATGGTGTCTATGTCCGAATGAAGCTGTGGGCCCCCGTTAGAAGCACTGATGCACTAGAAGTAGCACTGCTGGGAGTAGGGTGGAAATGAGATCTCACCTCGAGCCCGATGCAGTAGGAGTGAACCTGCGGCCCCCACTGCTTGCCCGCTTCCGTGGACGACAGGTGCCTCTGCGCCACGGCCGCCACCAGCGACGAGTCAAGCCCCCCCGATAGAAGCACGCCGAACGGCACGTCCGTCATGAGGCGCTTGACCACGGCCTTTTCGAATGCGGCGCGCAGGACGAGCGGGTCGTAGGGCGCCGAGGGGATGCGCTCGTCGTACCATGCCGGGTTGTACCAGCGGCGCAGAGTGTCTGGGGGGGGGAAGTGGGAGAATGGTGGGGCCAGGGAAGGGGAGGGAGCACGCCGAAGGGCACGTCATTCATGAGGCGCTTCACCACGGCCATCTCGAATGCCGCTCTGAGTGCAAGCGGGTCGTAGGACGCTGAGGGGATGTGCTCGTCGTACCACGCCGGGTTGTACCAGCGCTTGAGGGAATCTGCAGCGGGAAATGGGAGAATAGGGGGAGGCAAGAGAAGGCAAGGGAAGGTAGCAGACGGATGGGATGTGCTCGTCGCACCACGCCAGGTTATGTCAGCTCCAAATGCATGAGTCGTCTATTTTTGAGGCGTCCAAGTTATCGGCGCCTCAAAAATAGACTCGTCGCACCACGCCAGGTTGTGTCAGCAATGCGAGTGGGAAACAAAATGGGCGCGCAACTCACGGTCTTTGCTGGACAACGCGTGTAATGAGTCGATTTTTGAATCGATTTTTGAGTCGATTTTTGAGTCGATTTTTGAATCGAATCAAAAATCGACTCCGAGTCATTACACTGGGAACCGAGGGTGCGCAACTCACGGTCTTTGCTGGAACACACGTGTCCCGGCGGGAAGGTCTCGAAGCGCTCGCAGTCGCCTTAGGGCGCTTTCATCTCCGAGATAACGCGAACCACATGGAGCCGTCGCGCCGTGAAGTGATTTTTGAGGATTCTAAAAAATCGCCCACCCGATGGAGCCGTCGCGCCGTGAAGTGAGCCGCATCCATCCAAAGGCAGGAGTCAGGAAAGCAAGTAAGCAGGGAACTTACGGTCTTTGCTAGAGTAGAGGTGGCCCGGTGGAAACGTCTCGAAGCGCTCGCAGTCGTCTTTAAGAGCCTTCATCTCCGACGCGAACCACATGGAGCCGTCGCGGCCCCACCCGATGTAGAGCGGACACACGCCGATGGGGTCGCGCGCCGCCATGTACGAGCCGTCCCGCGTGTTGAGCAGCACGAACGCGAAGATCCCGTCGAGCTTCTCCACGGCTGCTTCGCCCATGTCCTCGTACTGCAGGCGTGAGGGTACATGATAATCGGTATACAGGAAACAGGCGTTAGTAGTAGTGAAACGAGGCATGCTTATTTGGCGGACGGATAGAAATTTCGGAGGAGCTAAGGACTCGAATTGCAATCAAGCAAAGCGATCAAAGGAAAGCCGCTCCAGGATGATAACTTCGCAATTGCACGTACGAGGTGGGCGATGACTTCGCAGTCGCTACCGGTGTTGAAGGCATGGCGGTCCTTGAGCTCCTCCCTTAGCTGCCGGTAGTTGTAGATCTCGCCGTTGACGGCCACCACGATACTGCCGTCCTCGTTGCGTAACGGCTGGTGGCCGGAGGCCGGGTCGATGACGGCCAGCCGTTCGTGCGCGAGAAAGTTGTTGCCGAACGTGTGCACGCCGCTCCAGTCGGGTCCGCGGTGGCGCAGCCTGCGGGTGACACGTGGCACGAATGAGTGAATGGCACGCCAACTTTTTGTTTGGATCAACGCGGCAAGATTTGCTGAGCACAGGGACACTTCACGACGTGCAATTGAGCGCATTGGCAACGAGGGCTGATTGCCATCGGCTTCTCTGAACTGGTCATCGTAGTGCGACTCGCAACGGAATCAACTCGCCAATCCTCTTGAAAAAACAATGAAGAGCCGATCTTGGAGCCTCGGCTCCGTGACAAGTAATCGAATTGACATAGACTGCACATTGTAACCGCACATCGGCTTACCTGGCAGTGCACTCGAGGACTTTCGCTCGGGTGCGAGCCGACGCATCAGCAGCTCCAAGAACCGCGAGAATTCCGCACATCTTGACGGTTGCCTGGCTCGCTCGACGGTTGTCGTCAAGTTTTCAACCGGGAGAACAGGCTAGCGAGCGGTTGAGCGGCGCAGGCCGAGCGTTGCTGTCGCAGGACGCGAGAGCAAACGAGGAACGAGGGCGAGTAGGAAATTCCGTGCCGCCACGGAAACAACTGCCTTGACAAGCGCTCGGTAGGGGTGGATGCTGAAGGGAGCAAACAGGTTAGTGAGAAATGTGAGGAAAAGCAGAGGTAAATTTATAGACCTTTTGATGTCGACATTGAGTTGGCTTAGGTGATACGGAATTTTGAGAATTGCGCTGGGCTGGATAGGTTTGGGGTGAGAGAGAGGAGGGGAAAATTGCGAGGAGCAGTCTGCTTGCGAACTGGCAGAAGCCACTGTTATTGGTGGCGAGGCTGCTCAGCCTTCTTCGTCGCTGTTCGTTCTCAGGTAACTTGTGGCTTGTGGTTGGGAAGCCCAGGGAATCTTCACAAGTTGCGAAATCGGGGAGAAATTGCGCGGTTTGCCAAGTTTCGCACATGTGGCGAGGTGCTTGTGCGATGTGGTGCGCAACGGAATTTCGGACCGCATTCATCTTGTCACGACGGTCCACGCAGGCAAATGGAATTTGTGATTCTGAGTGGAATTGGATCACCCCTCACATCAAAATCCAGGTCAGCACCTCACATCTCCACGGCCATTGCATCCAAGATGATATTTCTCATTGGCTGAGAAAACGCAATTAGCGGAGAAATTTGGTTAATTTCTCTGTCGATCAGCGCGCAACCTTCCCCTGCTGCCTCAGCTGCGCCTGGCAGTCCGCGGCAGCAGGAAACCTAGTCACTTGGCCGAAAGCAGGTCGCACCGGCGCCGCCCTTAGGGATTATCCTCCTCCCAGTTCACAGAGTCAAGTCGCCTGGACCACGTGGTTTTGCTTCCTTCCACGAAGGACTGGCCACGTGATCGGATAAGCCAACTGCTGGTCTCATCTCCACCGAATGCAGGAAAGGAGGTCAAGTTTTACGGTCAAGATCCATCGTCCCCCAAGTGTTACCAGTGAGATGAAGCTACAATCTCTAGACAGATTTACATTAATCGCTCCTATGACCCCACAGCAGAAATATGATACCTTTTTGGAAGAACTCAAAACCGCATGACGGGCAAACGAGGTCTGCAACCCAGCATAATATCCCCACTTCAACAGATAAATGGCAACAAGTACCATTGTAGCATTAGCATGAGTAATAACTGAAGGTTGGCGATCACCACTGGCTCCTCAAGTAGACTCGTCACTAGATTTGGCATTTGCACTCACAATCACCTCCACCTGTGAGAGGACTTGAGTCAAGGACTGCACATGTCCTTCATGCTCGTTTTCCATCAGCATAGTCCCGTTCTTAAACAGCTCCTCCTTGATCCCTTCAAGATCCGCAACTATCTTCACCATTCGAGGCCGGGACACGGCCGGCATGGCAGTGCATTTCACAGCAAGGAGTGCGAGGCGCAGAACGACGTCATCAGGAGCATCGAGATTCGGATCCTTGAAGGCAGCCACATTGCCTTGCTCCACTAACGGGGCAGCCTGTAATGAACCAAGCAAGAGCCAACGCAATGAATAAGACTAAAAGCTAGAGGTTTTGAAAGTTTTGACAGGATGTAGTGTAAGGGGTTATGGGCAGCCATAGCACGAGCAGCAGTAACAATTACGGCTGTAGCAGTTTCCACGTACCCATTTGCTTATGTTGATCGGGTCGTCATTGCCAGAGAGCACCATGATGGCTCTGCGGCCCGTCAGGAGCTCAAGCATCACAATGCCAAAGCTGAAGACATCGTTGGCAGGGGTGGCCTTGCGCGTGCGCCCATACACAGGGTCCACGTATCCCGGGGTGCCGAGCACTCGAGTTGAATCCTGCGGGTTGTAGGCATTGCCCTCGCCCATCTTTGTCAGCCCGAAGTCAGCAATCTTGGCCTGTGGAGGGTTATGGAAACATGCAAGATAAGGAGGCAAAAAGAGTCAGTAGTCGTTATTCCTGCGGGTTGTATGTGTTGCCCTCGCCCATCTTTGTCAGCCCGAAGTCAGCTACCTTGGCCTGTAGGAAGAATGGGCAGACAAACAAGCGTCAAGACACACCTGCCTGTTGCCATCCAGGAGCAAGCTTCACATCACGATGCACCATGGAGAAGCTGTGCAGGTACTCCAAGCCTCCAGGAGCCTCCAGCACTCCAAGCTCCATGTGTTTGCACGCCGTCACATCAACCTGTTCCATATTACACCACGCACCTTCCAGTTACCGTCCAGCAGGATATTTGCCGGCTTCACATCACGATGCAGCATGGAGAAGCTGTGCAGGTACTCCAGGCATCTGAGCCTCCAATCCTCCATGCATCAAAGCCCCCGGCTTTTTATCAAGTCCCCATTCTGAATGAAACACACACCTTCCAGTTGCCATCCAGCAGTATATTCGCCGGCTTCACGTCCCGATGCACCATGGAGAAGCTGTGCAGGTACTCCAGGCCCCTGGCTGCTCCGATCATCATCTCCAGCCGCTGCTGCAGGCTGATGGGCCTCGTCGAGAGGTCTGCACAATGGGAGAACAGGCGAGGAGAGAGGAGGGGAGCAGGTGTGTAAGCCAGAACGACAGCTTTAGTCGACTCAAAAGCAGGTCAGTAAGCCAGAAATGACACAGTTTAGCTGTGCAGGTACTCCAGACCCCTTGCTGCTCCGATCATCATCTCCAGCCGCTGCTACAGGCCAATCCTTGGACATCTTCCAGTGAGCGCGGCGTCAGGAGACGGGTTAGCAAGTAGGAAAAAACAGTTGAAAACGATGCTTATGTAAACGCGAGTTTGGAGTAGTCGGAGCTCTTCCCTTAACAACCAATTAAACAGGTGACAAACATGTTTCGGCCGCAGGGCATACCCTAGCGAGCCTTCATCAGTGCCAATAAAGGCACTGAGCCACAGGCCATGAGCCCCCAGGAGAGGTCTGGGGATTGGGGGAAGGAGGTAGTGTTGAGGGTATGCACTGCAAATATGTGTACATATGCATATAGAGAATAGTATAGGATATATGAACGTGGATATGCACATGCTTTATATAAGTATGCTACATATTTAGCTTCACTCTATATACATACATCGCTTGTATATCTAAAACAATGAAACGAGTACTCACTGTTCAATACGCGCTCCAGGTCGCCATTTGCCATGAACTCGTAGATGATGATCTGCTCCTGCTCGTGTGTCTTGGCGTCAGTCGTTTCACAGTACCCCAGCAGGCGCACCAGGTGCGGGTGGTGCTTGCTGGCCATCAGCTGGACCTGGGAGTGCAAGCAGGGGAGGTGGGGAAAAAGGGAAGGCGGAATGTGAGTATTGAACCAGGCTGTCACGACAGCTTGTTCCTGCTGGCACGTCTTGGCATCAGTTGTTTGTAACGCAGCGCCCCAGGAGGCCCGGTTACGACCGAGGATGGTGTTTTCAGCATTGTAAAATGCATTTTCACCTCCAAAAAAGTACCCCAGAAGGCGCACCAGGTGTGGGCGGTGCTTGCTGGCCATCAGCTGGACCTGAGGGAAGGGAAGGTGGGGCATAGCAGGAGGGTGGGTCAGGGACCAGTTCTCTCATATCGCTGTCAAAAATGGGCATGGCCCTAGATGTCAAAAAGGGCATGGCCCTAGAAGACAATTTTTGAGGCGCCTCAAAAATGGGTCAGGGACCAGTTCTCTCATATCGCTGTCCGTGCCCTAGAAGACGCAGCAGGGGAGAATGGTGCTTGCTGCAAGCATGCAAGCACCTCTTAGTGATAGTCGTTGATTGGCTTGCTATACAGCCCACACCTGGTCACAGTCTCACCTCTTTGTGGAAGTCGTTGGTGCGAATCTTGGCTCGCTTCACCGCCCACACCTTTGGCTCCCCCGCCTCCACTGTCATCCCCACGCCCCCCTCGCCCTGTACTCCCCTTGTGCTTATGAGTTGACTTTAAAAGCTCACCTCCTTGTGGAAGTCGTTGGTGCGTATCTTGGCGCGCTTCACGGCCCACACTTTCGGCTCCCCCGCCTCTCCAGTAATCCCCACGCCCCCCTCGCCCTGTGATCCCCTTGTGCTTATGAGTTGACATTGAAAGCTCACCTCTTAATGGAAGTCGTTGGTGCGAATCTTGGCTCGCTTCACCGCCCACACCTTTGGCTCCCCCGCCTCCACTGTCATCCCCACGCCCCCCTCGCCCTGTGCTCACCTTGTGCTCATGAGTTGACTTTGAAAGCTCACCTCCTTGTGGAAGTCGTTGGTGCGTATCTTGGCGCGCTTCACGGCCCACACTTTTGGCTCCCCCGCCTCCACTGTAATCCCAACTTCCCCCTCACCAGCTGTCTTTCCTGCTCCCCTCCCTGATCCCCTCCCTGCTCCCCCAATAGCCCCCGCACCTCCTCCCCCCTCCCTAGCGCAGGGCGGCACCCCCTTGTACACGTCCCCATAGCCCCCGCTGCCCAGGTGGTTGTAGCTCGCCCAGTTGTCAGTCGCCTGTAGCACCTCTGCCAGGCTGTAGCAGCGGAACATGCCGGGGACTGGGGCAAATGGGGGGAGAGGAAGGGATTGGGGGAGCCTGTAAAGAGACTGTAGCTGGCCTAGCTGTCATTCGCCTGTAGCAAATCTTGAAGGCTGTAGCGGCAGAACATGCCGGGGATTGGTGGGAATACAAGTGGGGGAGAGCAAAGGATAAGGGGCACACTACAAACAGTCTGTAGCCAGCCCAGACACCAGTCGCCTGTAGCACCTCTGCCAGGCTGTAGCGGCGGAGCATGCCGGGGACTGGCGGTTGGTGGGGGGGAAGATGAGGGATCAAAGAAAAAATACTGTAGTACCTCTGCCAGGCTGTAGCAGCGGCTGTAGCGGGTCTGCCCTTAGGAGGATGAGGACCAGAGTAAAGCATGCGACGATAAGAGCCCCTGCTCTGACTGCTATCCCAATTATCATTCTGAGCGAAGGGGAGGAGGAGGAGGAGGAGGAGGAGGAGGAGGAGGAGGAGGAGGAGGAGGAGGAGGAGGAGGAGGAGGAGGAGGAGGGGACTTAGAAACTCACCAGCTGAATTGTGTGCTGTAGCGGGCCTTCCCTTAAGGAGGATGAAGACAAGGGCGAGACAAGCGACGATAAGGGCCCCTCCTCCGACTGCTACCCCAATGATCATTCCGAGTGGCGGGGAGGAGGATGAGGAGGAGGGAGGAGGAGGAGAGGAAGAAGGGGGAGCTTGCGTAGGAGGGGAAGGAGTTGGGGATGTAGGAGGGGAGGGGGATGGGGAGGACGGAGGGGAGGGGGATGGGGAGGACGGAGGGGAGGGGGAGGGGGAGGATGGAGGGGAGGGGAGGGGGAGGAGGGGGGAGTGGGCGAGGGGGAGGAGGGGAGAGCGGGCGGAGGGGAGGAGGGGAGAGCGGGCAGGGGGGAGGAGGGGAGAGCAGGCGGGGGGGAGGAGGGGAGAGCAGGCGGGGGGAGGAGGGGAGAGCGGGCGAGGGGGAGGATGGGGACGCAGCGGATGGTGGTGCGGGGGGGGTGGTCTTGGGCACACAGGTGGCGTTGCCATCAGGGAGAAGGCCAGGAGAGGTGGTTGCAGGGCAGGAGCATGAGTAGTCGGCAGGGGTAGCACTACTGCTGATGCCCCTGATACCACCGCTACTGCTGGCCCGTATGCTGCCACTGCTGCTGCTGCTGCTGCTTATGGCCCTTATACCTCTGCTGCTGCTTCTGACACTTCGGCTGCTGCTGCTGCCGCCGCTGCTGGTGTTGCCCCCGGAAACACAAGTACCGACACCGCAGGGGTTGACAGGGAATGTGCTGCAGACGTCGGCTGGGAGAAGCAATTGGGATGGTGCAGGGAAAGGGAATAGAGGATGTTGGCTTGTACGGCAGACGTGAAGGTGCTGCACGCTGATGCTAACAGAAGGTGAGAAGCTTGCAGGCTTGCACACATCCATGCACTCACTTGTGTTGGAGCTGCAGAGTCTGCAGAAGCCGGAGCAGAGCTGGCAGAAGGCCGACTGCGGGGTCTGCTCTTGTCTTTCACGCATGCAGCCATTCGTGCAGTGCAGCAGTGCATTCAGCATGCAATCTTCCCACACCTGTATAGGAGCTGCAGAGTCTGAAGCAGCCGGAGCAGAGCTGGCAGAAAGCCGAGTGGGGAGACTGGTCCACCCCACAGGGCTGGTTGGCGGGGCAATCTGGTCGAGGCTGTGAATGTACCTGGGTTGCAAGAGCAAGCATTCCTGCACTCACCTGTATAGGCGCTGCACAGTGGCTTTTGAGTCGACTCAAAAGTCAGCTCACCAGTGTAGGAGCTGCAGAGTCTGCAGAAGCCGGAGCAGAGCTGGCAGAAAGCGGAGTGGGGAGACTGGTCAACTCCACAGGGCTGGTTGGCGGGGCACTCGAGCCAGGTGCCGTAGAGGGAGCTGAGATGGAGCGAGCGGGCCAAGGCACAAAATAGTAACTTGAAATGAGATAGATATAAAGAGAGGATCGACTGCTCCACTCCACAGGGCTGGTTGGCGGGGCACTCGAGGCACGTGCCGTAGAGGGAGCTGAGATGGAGCGAGCGGGCCAAGGCACAAAATAGAAAACTCAGAAATCGTAACCACATAAGGGGATCAATTGCTCCAGTCCACATGGCTGGTTGATGGGCTAGTGAGGCACTGGAGCCATGTGACAGAGGGAACTGAGATAAGTTTTTAAGAAATTAAAAAAACCTATCCCAGTCAAGCCATGTGATAGAGAGGGAACTGAGATGGATAGAGAGAAGGGTGTGCAGTGCAGAGGATTTTTGAGTCGACTCAAAAATCGACTCATTACACACAAGAAGGGTGTGCAGTGCAGAAGGGAGGACATCGAGAGAGGATCAAACGCCCCTCTCCACCTGGTCGGTTAGCGAGGCACTCAAGCCAGATGCCATTAAGAGGGAGCGCTCAGAAGGAGAGCGCAGGCAAAAGAGCGAAGAGAGCACAGTAGGAGGAGAGCTAGGAGTGCGGAGCAACGAGAGGCATTTGGAAAGATATCAAGAAATAGATACTAAAGCGCGTAGTAAGATAGAAACTACGTAGAGCCAGTGTTAATTTTTATGTTTATTTTTGGGCCACTCATACCTTGTTTTTTGGACCAGTGGTACATATGCTCTTAGAGACGCTCCCATCATTTGTCACAGGAACACTCACATACAAAGCTCTCACATATAGGGGTACACATGTACAGGGGCACTCACATTTCAATCACGTTGCTTATTGCACCCAGAGAGGGATGAAGAGGCGAATTTTGAGCCGACTCACACTCCAGCCCAGATTCACCCCGTTTTGAGCGAATTCAATCGCAACCTGGTTACTGGAAGACTTACATATTCGCCACGCTGATTAATGCACCCAGCGAGGGAGGAAGAGAGCCGTTGAGGGGGTTCTTGGAAAAGTCCCTGGGATGGGAGAGGATGGGTGAGAATGAGTGAGGATGGGTGAGAATGAGTGAGGATGGGAGAGGATGGGCGAGGGGATGTTGAGAAAAGATGGCTTTGGTCTCGAAAGGCAGTTGACTGAAACACTCAGCAGCCGCAGGGCAGGCAGGATACGGCACAGTCACAAACATGCACACACACTCGCGATACGCAGCCCGGTAGTTAGAACTTAGAGGAGCACTCCCAGACACGCACACACACTCACGCTACTCACAGCACAGTACTTAGAGAGTGAGATTCGCGAGGCGTGAGGCAACAGCGCCGGTGCGGCGATTAAAGCTCAAGCTGCATTGCAACATCAACTCTCAAGAGGACAGTGTAGCTTTGAGGCGCCTCAAAACTAGACTTCTATCACCGGGGGCGAGGGAACAGTGCCGGTGAGGCTATCAGAACTCAAGTTGCATTGCAGCATCACTCTCACAGGACAGTGTAGTTTTGGGGCGCCTCAAAAGTATACTTTAATCACGAGGGGCGAGGGAACAGTGCCAGTCAGGTGATTGGCACTCAAGTTGCAACATCAACACTCACAGGACAGTGGCTTGAGTGAGGTTAGCGAGGGATTCGGGAACCGGGCCAGTCAGGTGATTGGCACTCAGATTGCTGCGGTGAGACGGGGAGGGGGGGTGGTTGAGAGGAAGGAAGAGGGTGGGGGGCGGAGAGGGGGGGTGAATCGGTAATGGACAAATTGTGAAAATGTGGGGACAGGGCCAGTCAGGTGATTGGCGCTCTGATTGCTGCGGTGAGAGGGAGGGGAAGGGGGGGGAGGGGGAGGGGAAGAGGGGTGGTGGGATGGGCAGGATTCAAAAAAAAGTTTCGGAGGGCGCTTCTTACTCCCAATCAGGTGATTGGCACTCAATCTGCTGCGGTGAGAGTGGAGAGGTTGGGAAACGGGGGGGGGGGGAGGGGGGAGGGGGGTAGGACGTTATGTGAGTGAAACGGTAGCATAATAGACAACACGACACATGGTACAAGTAAGGTGCAGGGAGCCATGAGTAGAATCATGGATAAAGTGGTAGTGGTTCCTGCTAGAGTGGAGCCTTTTTTTAGAATTCTAAAAAATGGTTCCTGGATTGGATCCTCCCAGTGATATGCACAAGGCCAAGGGCACAATCGCCTCCCAGCGATTCGGGTCACTGCTCTGCTTGAGCCAGTGGGTTTTGAGGGCCTCACAAATCACGCTTGGTTTGAAAAGAGACATACAACTTGGTTACTAGGGTGAGGTCGCCAAGAGTTGTTTTTGAGGCGCCTGAAAAAGGAATCGTTTAGTGTGTGTGCCAGGGCCCAGGGCTGGTGGCTGAAAGGAGACATACAATTTGGTTACGAGGGTGAGGTCGCCAAGAGTTGCCGGTATGGTTCCGTTGAAGCTGTTGTCGTCGAGCTCACTGGGGAAGAAGGGGGAACGGGAAATGGGGAATGGGGAAAAGGGCAACCAGTGACCAACTGAGATTAATCAGGATGTTTTTGAGAATTCTCAAAAACACCCTGCAAATTCTCAAAAACACCCTGCAAATTCTCAAAAACACCCTGCAAAATCAGGGGAAGAAGGAGGAATGGGAAATGGGGAATGAGGAAAAGGGCAACCTGTGACTGACAGACTGAGATTAATCAGGACGATTAATCAGAACCACGTGGAAGAATGGTTTACAGAGGAGGGTGAGAGAAAGGGTGAAGGATGACAGATTATGCGTACAGGGAGTGTTGGGGGAGGATGGACGAGAGAGGGGCCCACACTTACAATCGTACGACTGCAGTCAATCGGCCGAGAGTGGAGGGTATGGGTCCAGAGAGACGGTTCCGATGCACGCCACTGAAGGGAAGGAGGTGGAGAGACAAGGAGCAGCAGAGGGACGAGTGACAGGCAGTGTGACAGGTGATAGTAATTTCGTTTTGAGACGTCTGAAAACGAACTACTAACACAAGGAGGGGCGGAAGGATGCGTGGCAGGCAGTCAGCAGAAAGAGATAATGTGAAAGGCGAGTGAGTGAGTGGCAGTTGGAACAAAAATACCATATATCTTGCCCTTGTACCCTGCTTACAAGTTGCTAAGTATGGTTTTTGAGAATTCTCAAAGGCCTAAAACTGCTTGATGAGATGAGAAAAGTTTCGAGTTGAATTTTCAGTTGACTCAAAAGTCACCTAGAATTCTCCAAGGCCTAACACTGCTTGATAAGATGAGATTTAGTTTCTGAGAAAACCAACAAGCGCAAGAAACACGACCACCGATTTCGCCCTTGTATCGTGCTTACAAATTGCTTAGCTTGGTCAGATCTCCAATCCCATCCGGTAGGGAGCCATGCAGCCCTGTCAGGCCCAAGTGGCTGGAAGAGGAAGGAAGGGGAAGGAAGGGGACGGAAGGGGAAGGAAGGGGATGGAAGGGGAAGGAAGGGAAGGAAGGGGAAGGAAGGGGAAAGAAGGGGAAGGAAGGGGAAGAGAAGCATAGTGATAATGGGTTGATTTAACTGTTATAACAGTTCGCAAGCTGACATTCTGATAAGTTTTACTGTTTCTAAGTTCAAATCAAACAGCAGCTTACAGTTGCTGACTTCAGACAGTCTCAATTATTTCTAAGCACATGATAGTTCTAGAGGACCCTATTTCTGAGGCGCCGAAAAAATGGACTCGTCACGCACAGTAGTTCTAGAGGACGAGGAGCCTCCCCCCAGCGATTTCTTACAGGAGGTCATTTTGAGAATTCCCAAAAAAGATTTCTTACAGGAGCTCCAGATTGGTGAGTTTGGTGATGGACTCTGGGAATGGCCCGTCCATCTCCGCGCCTTGCAGCTCACTAAAGGCACGGAAGAGGTGGGGGGAGGGGAGTAGGGGGGGAGCGGAGTAGGGGGAGAAGGGCGTGAAGGGGGAGAAGGGATGGAGAGGTTGTGTTGGGTTGTGCCTGGGAGTGCTGGGTGGTCGGGTGTCGGGAGGAGTACAGGCACAAGTGCAACGATCAAGCACAGTCGCTGAAGGAGGCTTGAACCGGACACTACGACAGCTCATGACAGCTCGCCCCTGCATACATCCCTGCTCTCCCCACATCCCTGCTCGCCCCACATCCCTTGCTCGCCCCTACACCCCTGCATTCGCCTGCGCTCCCATCCCATGCTTACAGGAAAGTGAGGGCCCTGAGGCTGCCAAGGTCGCCTGGAATGGACCCATTGAGATGCCAGTTGCCAATCTTGCTGGCGGTGGGTTGGAAAAAGAGGGATGGGGAGTTGGTAAGTGGGAACATGGGGCATGGGGAAAAGCAGGCACCGGTGCATGAACGGGGAATGGACCCATTGAGATGCCAGTTGCCAATCTTGCTGGCGGTGGGTTGGAAAAAGAGGGATGGGGAGTTGGTAAGTGGGAACATGGGGCATGGGGAAAAGCAGGCACCGGTGCATGAACGGGGAATGGACCCATTGAGATGCCAGTTGCCAATCTTGCTGGCGGTGGGTTGGAAAAAGAGGGATGGGGAGTTGGTAAGTGGGAACATGGGGCATGGGGAAAAGCAGGCACCGGTGCATGAACGGGGAATGGACCCATTGAGATGCCAGTTGCCAATCTTGCTGGCGGTGGGTTGGAAAAAGAGGGATGGGGAGTTGGTAAGTGGGAACATGGGGCATGGGGAAAAGCAGGCACCGGTGCATGAACGGGGAATGGACCCATTGAGATGCCAGTTGCCAATCTTGCTGGCGGTGGGTTGGAAAAAGAGGGATGGGGAGTTGGTAAGTGGGAACATGGGGCATGGGGAAAAGCAGGCACCGGTGCATGAACGGGGAATGGACCCATTGAGATGCCAGTTGCCAATCTTGCTGGCGGTGGGTTGGAAAAAGAGGGATGGGGAGTTGGTAAGTGGGAACATGGGGCATGGGGAAAAGCAGGCACCGGTGCATGAACGGGGAATGGACCCATTGAGATGCCAGTTGCCAATCTTGCTGGCGGTGGGTTGGAAAAAGAGGGATGGGGAGTTGGTAAGTGGGAACATGGGGCATGGGGAAAAGCAGGCACCGGTGCATGAACGGGGAATGGACCCATTGAGATGCCAGTTGCCAATCTTGCTGGCGGTGGGTTGGAAAAAGAGGGATGGGGAGTTGGTAAGTGGGAACATGGGGCATGGGGAAAAGCAGGCACCGGTGCATGAACGGGGAATGGACCCATTGAGATGCCAGTTGCCAATCTTGCTGGCGGTGGGTTGGAAAAAGAGGGATGGGGAGTTGGTAAGTGGGAACATGGGGCATGGGGAAAAGCAGGCACCGGTGCATGAACGGGGAATGGACCCATTGAGATGCCAGTTGCCAATCTTGCTGGCGGTGGGTTGGAAAAAGAGGGATGGGGAGTTGGTAAGTGGGAACATGGGGCATGGGGAAAAGCAGGCACCGGTGCATGAACGGGGAATGGACCCATTGAGATGCCAGTTGCCAATCTTGCTGGCGGTGGGTTGGAAAAAGAGGGATGGGGAGTTGGTAAGTGGGAACATGGGGCATGGGGAAAAGCAGGCACCGGTGCATGAACGGGGAATGGACCCATTGAGATGCCAGTTGCCAATCTTGCTGGCGGTGGGTTGGAAAAAGAGGGATGGGGAGTTGGTAAGTGGGAACATGGGGCATGGGGAAAAGCAGGCACCGGTGCATGAACGGGGAATGGACCCATTGAGATGCCAGTTGCCAATCTTGCTGGCGGTGGGTTGGAAAAAGAGGGATGGGGAGTTGGTAAGTGGGAACATGGGGCATGGGGAAAAGCAGGCACCGGTGCATGAACGGGGAATGGACCCATTGAGATGCCAGTTGCCAATCTTGCTGGCGGTGGGTTGGAAAAAGAGGGATGGGGAGTTGGTAAGTGGGAACATGGGGCATGGGGAAAAGCAGGCACCGGTGCATGAACGGGGAATGGACCCATTGAGATGCCAGTTGCCAATCTTGCTGGCGGTGGGTTGGAAAAAGAGGGATGGGGAGTTGGTAAGTGGGAACATGGGGCATGGGGAAAAGCAGGCACCGGTGCATGAACGGGGAATGGACCCATTGAGATGCCAGTTGCCAATCTTGCTGGCGGTGGGTTGGAAAAAGAGGGATGGGGAGTTGGTAAGTGGGAACATGGGGCATGGGGAAAAGCAGGCACCGGTGCATGAACGGGGAATGGACCCATTGAGATGCCAGTTGCCAATCTTGCTGGCGGTGGGTTGGAAAAAGAGGGATGGGGAGTTGGTAAGTGGGAACATGGGGCATGGGGAAAAGCAGGCACCGGTGCATGAACGGGGAATGGACCCATTGAGATGCCAGTTGCCAATCTTGCTGGCGGTGGGTTGGAAAAAGAGGGATGGGGAGTTGGTAAGTGGGAACATGGGGCATGGGGAAAAGCAGGCACCGGTGCATGAACGGGGAATGGACCCATTGAGATGCCAGTTGCCAATCTTGCTGGCGGTGGGTTGGAAAAAGAGGGATGGGGAGTTGGTAAGTGGGAACATGGGGCATGGGGAAAAGCAGGCACCGGTGCATGAACGGGGAATGGACCCATTGAGATGCCAGTTGCCAATCTTGCTGGCGGTGGGTTGGAAAAAGAGGGATGGGGAGTTGGTAAGTGGGAACATGGGGCATGGGGAAAAGCAGGCACCGGTGCATGAACGGGGAATGGACCCATTGAGATGCCAGTTGCCAATCTTGCTGGCGGTGGGTTGGAAAAAGAGGGATGGGGAGTTGGTAAGTGGGAACATGGGGCATGGGGAAAAGCAGGCACCGGTGCATGAACGGGGAATGGACCCATTGAGATGCCAGTTGCCAATCTTGCTGGCGGTGGGTTGGAAAAAGAGGGATGGGGAGTTGGTAAGTGGGAACATGGGGCATGGGGAAAAGCAGGCACCGGTGCATGAACGGGGAATGGACCCATTGAGATGCCAGTTGCCAATCTTGCTGGCGGTGGGTTGGAAAAAGAGGGATGGGGAGTTGGTAAGTGGGAACATGGGGCATGGGGAAAAGCAGGCACCGGTGCATGAACGGGGAATGGACCCATTGAGATGCCAGTTGCCAATCTTGCTGGCGGTGGGTTGGAAAAAGAGGGATGGGGAGTTGGTAAGTGGGAACATGGGGCATGGGGAAAAGCAGGCACCGGTGCATGAACGGGGAATGGACCCATTGAGATGCCAGTTGCCAATCTTGCTGGCGGTGGGTTGGAAAAAGAGGGATGGGGAGTTGGTAAGTGGGAACATGGGGCATGGGGAAAAGCAGGCACCGGTGCATGAACGGGGAATGGACCCATTGAGATGCCAGTTGCCAATCTTGCTGGCGGTGGGTTGGAAAAAGAGGGATGGGGAGTTGGTAAGTGGGAACATGGGGCATGGGGAAAAGCAGGCACCGGTGCATGAACGGGGAATGGACCCATTGAGATGCCAGTTGCCAATCTTGCTGGCGGTGGGTTGGAAAAAGAGGGATGGGGAGTTGGTAAGTGGGAACATGGGGCATGGGGAAAAGCAGGCACCGGTGCATGAACGGGGAATGGACCCATTGAGATGCCAGTTGCCAATCTTGCTGGCGGTGGGTTGGAAAAAGAGGGATGGGGAGTTGGTAAGTGGGAACATGGGGCATGGGGAAAAGCAGGCACCGGTGCATGAACGGGGAATGGACCCGTTGAGATGCCAGTTGCCAATCTTGCTGGCGGTAAGTTGAGTCGTGGAGAGATGGGGGGTGGAGGCATGGGAAGATGGAGAGATGGGGAGTGGAGGCATGGGAAGATGGGGAGATGGGGAGTGGAGGCATGGAGAAAAGGAGGGTCCAACGGATGCGTGGACGGGGAATGGACCTGTTGGGATGACGTTCGCAGAAGTGAAGGGACGTTTGGAGGGAAGGATGGAGGGAAGGATGGAGGGAAGGATGGAGGGAAGGATGGAGGGATGGAAGGAGGAATGGACGGAGGGATGGAAGGAGAGATGGAGGGGTGCAGGGTTCGGGAGATGAAGAATGTGGCAGTCGCATCAGACAATCCCAGTGAGGATGAGTCCAAGCCCAGCAGCCCAGCCAACCAACCCCATCCCAGCAAGGTTCAAAAATACGGTTTTCGAAAAATACGGTCCGTATTATTCGGCCGTTTTTTTCGGGGATTTTTGGAAAAAAACGCCGTTTTTTAAATAGAGCATCTTTTTTTTTTCTTTTTTTTTTTGCTAGACAGCCTAATCGTCCGCCAGATCCGCGCCATTCGTCCGCCCAAATGCGAGATCCGCGCATTTCGACGGGCGAAATGTCAGATCTGCGTATTTCGGCTGACAAAACGTCAGATCCATACATTTCGTCCACAAAAAACGCAAGATCTGGCACATTTTGGTGGGAAAAATGCCAGATCCGTGCATTTGGGCGGGCGAAATGCCAGATCCGCGCATTTCGTCGGATTGTTTTGCACTTTTTTTAATATTTCGGCCGTTTTTTTGAACCAACCTATTTTTGCACAATTTTCACCGTTTTTTTCGTATTTAACGGCCGTTTAATTCGATACCGTTTAATACGGTATTTTTTTGAAAAAAACGGCGTTTTTTTGAACCCTGCATCCCAGTTCTACCCATCCCAGTTCTACCCATCCCAGTTCTACCCATCCCAATCTACCCATCCCAGTCTACCCATCCCCCGTTTTGCCCTGAACTTACAGCAGGACAAGGTCTGTGAGCAGAGTCGATTTTTGAGTCGACTCAAAAATCGACTCATTACACACGGACCTCTGAGTCGACTCAAAAATCGACTCATTACACACGGACCTCTGAGTCGACTCAAAAATCGACTCATTACACACGGACCTCTGAGTCGACTCAAAAATCGACGCATTACACACGGACCTCTGAGTCGACTCAAAAATCGACTCATTACACACGGACCTCTGAGTCGACTCAAAAATCGACGCATTACACACGGACCTCTGAGTCGACTCAAAAATCGACTCATTACACACGGACCTCTGAGTCGACTCAAAAATCGACTCAAACACGGACCTCTGAGTCGACTCAAAAATCGACGCATTACACACGAACTTACAGCAGGACAAGGTCTGTGAGCAGAGTGAGCGTGTCTGGGATGGGCCCTTCAAAGGCGTTGGAGAACACATCCCTGCAAGCAGCCACGCGTGCAGACACACGGACATGCACGCATAGACAACCAGGCACACGGACATGCATGCACGCATAGACAACCAGGCACACGGACATGCATGCACGCATAGACAACCAGGCACACGGACATGCATGCACGCATAGACAACCAGGCACACGGACATGCATGCATGCTCATAGACAACCACGCACACGGGTGTGTGCATGCGCACAGAGGAAAAAACAGGTACTGAAATGGTGTCTGACACTGTAGCATCTGGAACATTGCGATCCGACCCGGACAGATCTCCACACACAGAAACATTATCCCGTCCACTATCAATTTTTGCACTCAACCTCTAACACAGCGCAGGCAACCAGGCTGGGCACTCACAAGAAGGAGAGCTTGGAGAGCGAACCAAGGTACTCAGGAATGGTGCCAGCGAACTTGTTGTAGGGCATGGAGCTGGGAGGGAGGACGAGGAGTGCATTGCGGTGAAGAAGGGTGAAGGGAAGAGAAGGGAAGAGAAGGGAAGAGAACGGGGAAGGTGGTGGGGGGGGCGAGCGGGGGAGACCAGGGTACTCAGAAGTGGTGCGAGAGAACTTGTTATAGGGCATGGAGCTGAGGGGGGAGGGTGGATATGGGTGCAGAGAAGAAGCGGGAGAAGAGGGAGAAGAGGGAAAGAGAAGAAAAGAGAAGGAAATGCAGCGAAAGTACACGGGAAAGGACACTGAAAGTACTCGGGAATCGTGGTGCCAGAGAAGTGCTTATAGGGTGCTGGGAAGACAAGTGAGACGTGTTGAAGGGCTGGGATGGGAAGTGAGAGGCCTTTGAAGGAAGAGGGAGTGAGAGAGAGGCACAGAAGGGAAGAAGGATGCAAACCCAAGGTACTAAGGTACTAGCGAGGGGCCAGGAAGGGAACTGACAGGAATTGGAGGGCTGAGAGGGACTGTAGTGCGGAAGGGAGGGGCCCGGCAAGGGTGGTGTTGCGGATGGTGCTGAGGAGGGGGAGGGAGGGGAGTGGGTGGGGGGGGGAAGGGGGGGAGGGGGGGGGGAATGGGGGAGGGGGGGGTGAGGGGACGGAGGGGCTAAGGCAAGGAGGGCGGGGTGATGCTAAGGGTGGTGTTGTGGTTGATGCTGAGGAGGGGAGGGAAAGGAGTGGGAGGGGACAGTGGGGCTGGGGGGAGAATCAGGCGCAAAGTAGCACACGAGGCAGTGGGGGTGGGTGGTGTTACAGACGATGCGCGGGGAAGGGAACAGGAGTAAGAGTGGGCTGTTTAGTCACCTCAAAATGTGAGCGGAGGACAGTGAGAGGAAAGAGGCGCGCGCACGGTGGCAAAGGGAGCAGTGAGTGAGAGCGGTGTAGCGAAATTTTTGAAATATGAAGGACATGCGGACGAACTCCTAACAAACCGCTTACAGTGCTGTGAGGTAGGAGAGGGCGCTAATGGCGTCTGGAAGAGATCCCGTGATGGGCGTGTCAGTGATGGACCTGGGGGGGGAGGGGGAGGTGGGGGAGGGAGCGCGGAAGAGGGGGTGGGGGGTAGAAGGTCGGGAAAGGGAGTTTGGAGACGACAAAGGGGGGGTGGGGTGGGGGAGGGAGGGTTAAGGGATGAGGGGGGAACGGAAGGGAAGAGAGGAGGGAAGCCACATTGAAAAGAACGATAATGCACTTCTCCCGCTTACACATCCTTGCTAGTCACAGAGCCCGTGTAATTCACCTGATTTTGACTCGGATGCTCCCTGGTTATAACGAACTGTGGGACCCATGTGCTTATAACGAATTTCCGGGACTCACATGCCAGTAACGAAGCCATCCGCTGTGCATGAGAGCCACGTGGCGTTCTTGCAATCCCATCCAGATGCTCCTCCGAAAGATTCAACGCCCCACTCCAGCAGTATCTGCTCCAAAGCAAATGCTGCGGGAAGGAGGAAGAACCAAAAAAAAAGGGAGAGAGGAGGAGGAGGGGGGAGGGGGAGAGAGGGGAGAGGGGGGGGGGGGGGGGGGGGGGGGGTTCTCTTATATTTGGTACTGTGGTGTTTCGTTTCCAAGAATGCGAGCAATCGGCGCTGGCGCTCGGCGACGTAATACACCTCATTCATTACAGACCAGAGCATGCATTGAACGGCGTCAAACCATGCGCTTTCCAGCAGTAACTATCTTTATCGCCAACAACAAGACCTCCCAAGACGGTAACTTTCTCTGCTTTATTGTTCAGTTGGCTTTTGAGAAATTTCAAAAACCAACTGAACGAGAGTCGTTCTGCGCTGCGCTCTTACCTTGTGAATTGTCCAGCATTTGCGCGTTTGCCGCCGTCATGTGCGGGCTGAAATGCCAGCAAGACATCCCCACGTGAAGAAGCAGTGCGAGAAATTTAGTAGCCGGAGCCAGCCCTCCCTCGAGATTGCCGCCGCGAATCACGCGACGACTCGTCGCACTTCCCATCATGAGGAGTTTCGTGAAGGGGTTTATTTTCTTCAATTGATGGTCAATGAGAGCTTCCGAGTTAGGGTTGTCGTTTCCGGGCGTTATATAATGCTGCGTTATGAGTAAGGGTTACTGCGTCACAAACAGAACTCAGGCTGCGTCAGTCTGCCTGCAAAAAAATCCGTTTTATTCGACACGGAAGGGTTGCGAAGACTCTGTCCGTCGATATTACGAGCGCGAAATGACTGAGGATGGCTTGTCTGATCATGGATCCCAAGAGCGAAGAGTACAGTCGCAATAGCCGCTAGGGTAGGAGTCTGCAGCTCGAAGAAGACTGGATCGCCAGAAACTAGTAGTGAAGTAAAGCAGCCAATGTTGGCTGGCAGCAGCTGCTAATGGAGATCTGCATTTGCGTGAACCAATCTTGCACCGACCAAGGCGTGGCGTCGCCATTGCTGGCAGAGAAAATCAGCGTATGCAGTGCTGGAACCGACGGAGCAATGTGACTCTGATGGAAGTGACTTACGAAAACAGAGGAAAAGGGGTCTCCTCCAGTGCAGGTATTCAGTAAAGACTTCTGAGGAAGTGTGAGGTGGAGGTGAAGTGGCGATGAGCGGGCTAGGAGGGCCAATGACAATCTCGAGGGTTCGGCTGTTAGGGACTAGGAGGCTGGAGTCACCTGTAGTCCTCAAGGTCATCGCCTGAGCTTACAGCGAGAATTTGTTGTCCTGATGAAATTTTGTGTAAGGATGTGAAATATCAGATAGTCATGTATTATAGATGAATCAAAATTGTATGTGGGCAATGGTTTTATTGGCACCGCTGCTACGAATTGAGGCAAAGCGGTGAACTACCAAAGATAAGTTCCTCTATGAAACATGCTTGAAATGTTATTGATGATCATATTGGTGGAATGAATGCTCGAATAACTTGGCCGCACATCACATATAAGTACCACAAATCATGAAACGTCCGCAGGTAATATATTTTTGTGATGAAATTCGATTGGTGTATATGAATTATATGTGTTAGAGGACGTATGGATCTTGAAAAACTTTAGGAATACAAACTAGGGTGTTGTGAACTTGTGAGTGTTGTGAGGGTGTCTGTATAAGGGCCTTGGTACACCAGGCCCGGGGTACTGTGGGTTCAAACTGGCTGTGAGAGAGATTGAAAGCGGTGTGGGTTTGCTTCGGGAAGATACAAGCAGGGTACAGTGTAGAGAGCATTCAAACGCGAGCCGTTCGAGTCCATTGTACAGTGTACGATATCCTCCTGATTGTTCACGCACAGGTGACACGATGGGTGCTTGCTTGGTGATTGCGGTGGATGACCAGCCACGAGCAGTGGCTATAACTCCAGGCTGGTGGAAGCCTTGGTTGGATCGGTCGCCACGACATCAATCATTGACGGTACCGATGCGAGAGAGACAGGAAGGAACGGTGGAGATTGGCGAATCTCTGTCGGCACAACGCACCACAACAAGGGGCCTCCGCCACGTGGCATTGCCTGTGTTGGGGGTGCACCAAATTTCTCGCAGCGCCCTTGGTAAAGAGCAGACAGGACGGACACCGGAGAAATGTGGTCCAGGATCCGCGCTGCTCAGGCTCCAAACTTCCCGCCAGTGTTGGTTTGGGTGGATGAGGCGGTTACACTTGCTGGTTCGAATCGAGGGTGGGTGTGGGATTCGCATCTCGCACGAAATGCTCGTGCCCGTGTCACCCTTTCCCAAGCATAAACTTCGTGGAAGGGCGACCACTAACGAAAGCACAAAGCTGACAAAAGCATGCACGAAAGCGACTACGATTTCAGGAGTATATCCAAGGGCCATTATACAGCCACGATTCCCGTGGGACGTCGCCAAACCGTGCTGGCGGTTCCCGTGATTGGGAACAAAGCCAGACCAAGCCCCTGGTTTGACGGAACCCCAGCCTCGATCTCCGTCACTTGCTTGTGATCTCGACCTCTCAGCCAACCACGAGCGGCCATGTCACCAATTCCGTCATCTCCTTCCTCCCACCGAACACGCACCCCCCGATTCTGCCTCCCCCTCCCCAGCCGCACAGCCCCGAGGCTCCGCACAATCCCGTCATCCCGTCCCGAGAGCTGTGCCAGTCATTTCTTTCCCAGATTCCCCAGCCACCAGTTTCTATTTACTGTACCCGGCGCCTCCCGCCTTCCGCATCCTCCGCCTAACTGGGGGCTGCAATGGTATTAGCTCCGCATCTCCGCATGTGGTCCCTCTGCCTGTCCTCCTACCAACCTCCCTGGCGCGGGGCTGCTCGACCCGCCAGAGCCCTCCCCCACACACCACCCACCCCCCGTTGGCTAAACTAACACTCGTTCCCCCTCCCCCTTCCCCGCCAGCGCTGGTAACGTCGATTTTCCCGCGCCACTTCGCTTCCAATCCCTAATTTTCACTAACTCGCGCTGTCTCCTATAACCAATCCCGCCTCAGTCTGGTCCTCCAGCATTAACGACTAGGCTTTCCTGAACCTCTAGTGCAGCATCTAGCCCCTTATTCTTGGAAATTCTGGTAACTGGTCAGCGCTTGCTTGGTTCTCCTAGCGTCGTCGTCAACGCTCAAACGCCTTACCGCCAGTCAAGTGCACGGCCTGGTTGGTTTCCTTCGTCCCATCCTACTGTCTTCTCGCGTGGCTGGCAGCAGCAGGACTTTTAGTTCCGAGCGCTTTTAATTCGCGCTTTCTCCTGAGCCAAACTCCCGGTTCTCTCCCTCAGCTTCCGCTCGCAGAGCCTTTGCTCGCGCGTGTCGTTAGTTCTCATCGCCGTGAGTCGCGCTCTCGTGAGTCTCTAAGCAATTGCACTGGCCAGCCCCTCCGGGTCTGGTCCGTGCCATCACATTGGCCACCACGGCGTTTCCGGCGGGTAACGCGGGTAACCGTTACGCCTTCGCGAGTCAGCTGGAGACCGAGGGAAGGCTGTGCCTGGGTCCCGTTTCCGCGCACGGTGGTCGGGGAGCATCTCCGTCTGAGGGGGGAAGTCCCTCGGACCTTCTCTTCCTCGCAGGAGGTGGTAGCGTCACTCCCTTAGTAGTTGCGGACTGAACGGCGGTTGTAGGCATTCTGTGCTCAAATCGTCGCTACTTAGTCTGCTTAGGGTTCCCTGAGGCAACCTAAGGGAGGGAACCTGCTAGAAATTGGAAGGGGAAAGGCCGGAGGGAAGGGTCTTACACCTGTGACGCGGCTTGAATTTCCTGCGAAGAGGTTCGGGGTCACGATGATGACGATTAAGAAGGTTCCGACGGTGGTCTCCCTTAACCAGGAGGAGGACCAGCCCGCGGGCTGCGGTCGCCGCTGTCTCAACACCTGCTGCACCATCGGTACGTCTCACCTTCACACCCTTGATTTCGTTATCAGGGATTGTTTGTTCGGTACTTGTCAACTTCATACCCCCTAAAATCTGCTTCGATGTTTCAGTCTTCAGTGTGGCCATGATTGGTCTCTCTCCATACCCTACCATGCACTCACTCCCTCTTCATCGCATGTCCGCTCCTGTTTCTTCCGTTTGACTTTTTGAGTCGACTCAAAAGTCATCTCTTCATCGCATGTACACTCCTTTTTCTTCCGTTTCCCAACTGCAGGTGCTCGCATGCCTCTGTATGCGTACGCCAAGCGTCCCTGCACCAAGCCGGAGCGCATCCAGTCGTACACCGAATTAGACGGTGGCGGCTTCCAGCCCGGGTTTCTCGGCGCGACGACGAGCTACGCGTCGTACGACGATCTTCTGTCAATCCGCGAGTCGTTGTCGTCGTCCGACGACGACTCGCTGTCGTCCGGTGGCGCGAGCGACATTCACGACGACGACGCCTTCTCGCTTCGCAAGCACATCACCTCCGAGGTACGATACTCGTCACGATGCTCGGTGCGCTGCTCGTTCTGTTGAGGATCCTTACGTGAATAATGAAATTTGTCGGGTGGTGAGGGCTGAGCACCGGGTGCTGGGTGGTGGTGGTGGTGCTTCGCAAGCACATCATCTCCGAGGTATGATGCGCAATGGTGCGATGCCCATTACGATGCTTGGTGCGATGCTGGTTACGCCTTCTCGCTTTGCAAGCACATCACCTCCGAGGTACCGATCTCATTCTACATTGCTGTTGAGTGAGGAATGCCGGGTGGTGTTTGAGCAAGGGGTGCTGGTGCTGGTGCTGGTGTTGGTGTTGGTGTGATTGATGGGTGTTAGGTGCTGGAGCTGGGTGCTGTTGCTGGTGGTGCTGGCTGCCGGTGCTGGTTGTGCTTCGTGGTCAGCTTTATTTCCTGTCATCACCTCCTCTTGCATTCTTGTTGCCTCCTCTTGTTCTTTGACTTCAGTGGGAGAAGAAGTTTCAGGAGGGGCTGTTCCGCTATGACGTGACGGCTTGCGAATCAAAGGTACGTCCACCGAACACTCAAAATGATTCTGGTATCTGCGAGCTACAGAACGCGAGAAATTTCCTCTTGAAATAGATTATGGAACGAGCTTATTTTGGTACTAAGAACAATGATCATTCTCGTTTTGTAACGTGTAGGTTATCTCCTCTGGGTTTCATCGCCCAGCTGAACGAGGGCCGGCATCCCAAGAAGTGCCCCACGGAGTTCCGCATGGAGAAGGTGCTGCAGGAGTTCTACGCCTCCAAGTTCAGATTCTCATTTCCTTTTATTGTTTCTATTTCCGTTTTGTTACACTTAACAGGTAATTGACGGCCCTCTGGGTTTCATAGCCCAGCTGAACGAGGGCCGGCACTCCAAGAAGCGCCCTACCGAGTTCCGCGTGGACAAGGTGCTGCAGGAGTTCGACGGCTCCAAGTTCAACTTCACCAAGGTCGGCCAGAACGAGATGCTCTTCCGCTTCGAGGAGGGCAAGGACGAGGAGAGCCGCTTCTACGAGGCTGCTGTTGTGGAGGAGAGCCCCAGCATCATGGCCATCAATGTAAGTACCTGGACCAACTTCGTGTCAACTCTTGAAACTTGACCAAGGTTGATGTACTTTGGGTTTTAAGAAGGGAAAGACGAGGAAAGTTGCTTTTACTAAGTCGCCGTTGTCGATTGTGGCCATCAATCTGAGTCCCTGGACCGGTTTGTGATTCTGTAAATCTTATCTGTGGTCAGATCCACCCGCTCCGAGTTGTCATTCTCCATAATATGGGTTTGTCCTGCTGATGGAGATTTCCTTCCACTAAGGCCCCACATTTCACCCGTTGCTCTTATGCGCTATCCGCCGGTGTCGCCATTCGACTACGGCCACGTGCTGCTCGTCCCCCGGATCCTGGACACGATCTTGCAGTGCATGGACGAGGCCAGACGCTCATGGCTCTTCCCACTTCAATCTACCCGCTGCTCATTGCATTCCCTACAGGTGTCTCCCATCGACTATGGCCATGTGCTGCTGGTCCCCCGCGTGCTGGACAAGATTCCCCAGCGCATGGATGAGGCCAGTCTGCTCATGGCCCTCCGCCTAGCCTCGGAAGTCAACGACCCTGCCTTCAGGATTGGGTACAACAGCCTCGGCGCGTTCGCCACGATCAACCACCTGCACTTCCAGGCCTACTTCCTTGACCTACCGTTCGCTATCGAGCGTGCGGCATGGAGAGACGTGGCTGTATCTACCAATGACTGCAAGGTCGGGGAGCTCACATATTACCCTGTGAAGACCATGGTGTTCCAGGCGGGATCCTCCCTGGAGCAGATGGCATCGGCTGCTGCGGCTGCGTGCTGCAAGCTCCAGGAAGAGAATATTCCGTTCAACATGTTTATCGTGGATCGGGGCATGCGGCTGTTCCTTATCCCTCAGGTACATTTACTTGCCACATCCCTGCCCTTGCATCCTCATTCATGGGATTTTTTTTCCATGTGTTAGTGTGTTTTGTGCTGCTTCAAAGCTTTCACGCTTGTGTTTACCCGATCTGATCTAATCCCTACTCCTCCCCTCCCATTTTTTCCCAATTATGCGTCCTGCAGAGGTATGCAGAGAGGCAGGCCAAGGGTGAGATTAGCCAGGAGCTGCTGGACACTCAGGTGAATCCTGCGGTGTTTGAGATCTCTGGCCACATTGTGTGCAAGCGCCGGGAGGATTACGACAGTGCCACTGAGGCCTGGACCTGGCGCCTCTTGGAGGCAGTGTCCCTCAATGATGAGGGATTTGATGTTGTGAGGACGATCTGTGTGAAAGCCTTGGCGGCATCTGCTGAGGCTATTGAGATGGGGAGGGGAGGTGCTGGTGTGAAGGGAAAGGCGGAGTTTGAAAGTGATGCTGCTGGTGCCTGGGTTGATTTTGCTGCGGTGAAGGGTGGTGTGGTCCAGCCAGCTCTTCAGCTTGCTTAGACCTGCATCATGTGGGTTGGCCAACTTCAGTAAACTACATTTTTTGCTTGGTTCTTCCATCCAACTGAAGAATTATATGCAACATAAATTGTTCACTATTTCGAAGTGTGAAATCTGGCAGGGAATGCTGCTTGGCAAGCTCCAATGCAATTTCGTTGTGGACAGCGGACAGAATGTGTCAGGCGCGTATGCAGACCATTTTGAAATATTCACCAACCATTCTCCGCCACGCAATGCCACGCCGTGTCGGTCCAATCAGCCTCAGCAACCGACTGTCCAGGTTCGTTGTTCCTTCTGCAGCTGAAGTCCCGCTTGCTGCCCCCAACACTGGTTGCTCCAGAGAATGATGATTCACCTCGGAGATCCCTAGGCTGGCCTGATGTAAAGTTTGAGAGACTTCAAAACCTCCTGGGTCGAGATCCCTGGGAAACTCCGTCTTGGTACTCCTGGTTTGCGTGATTTACGCCTAGGATCCGAAGCGAACCAAAGCTTGAAGAAAATTCGTGGCTCGTTTTGTGTTATTCATGCTTGCGTGCGTGCCGTCATTCTGTTGTGTTTCCGGCGATCTGGCTAGCAGATCCATTGCTTTACGGCGTTCTATCGCTGGTTCCTCCTCAGTGAGTCTCGCGGTCGCTGAATGTGCCTTCGCCGACAGCTATTCTTCAAAAGCTCTTCTCTTCCAACGACGACTAGGAAATAGCTGTAGCTCCGCCTCATTGTCGAAAAGGTCCTGTATCGGGAGGACGAACGTTGTACGGATCCATTCAACCAGTATCAATTCTGTTCAGTCCGTACGGTTCAAAATGGCCGCGTGTCAGGACCCCGTACGCATGCAAGTTGACGTGGACTTCCGTCCTGCTGACGTTATTGAGATCGCAGAGGCGGCGGGACGCGCGATCCTGGAAGTTTACAAGAGCCACGAAGAGTACGTGGAAGGGATATAAATGGTGTCCCTCGGTATCCCTTGACCTTCACGTTCGCTCCCCGTTGCTTCCTCATTCTATACCCAAACGCACGTACCCCTTTTTTTCCTACCCCGTCAGCCCGTACACCGTTTTCTATCGCACAATACTCCTTCCCTCCCCATGCGATCTGCGGTTTCTCATGCTCTTGTGGAGGGCTTCCCTCAACGTAGGTCCCCTCAACGTGGGTCCCCTTGCTCTTCAATTCCAGACCCCCTTGTTGGATCCAATGCACCATACGATCCTTTCTAGCTTGCTCTGTTTCGTCTTATTCTCTCTTCCTGTGATTCCCCTGATCTGCTTTACACCCGTCTTTTCCTTCGATCTGTAATCCCATCGACTGGGGCGTGGTCGTTAAGTCGGACCGCTCTCCGCTCACAGACGCTTTTGAGTCGACTCAGAAGTCGTCCCTCATTTACTCACGTTTCTCACTTTCTCCAATGATCTCTTCTCTCCCGTGTAACACCAGTGACTGGGGCGTGGTTGTTAAGTCTGACCACTCTCCGCTCACAGACGCCGACTCTAAGGCCAACGCGTTAATCTGCAGCGAGCTGGCGCGAATCGCGCCGCACGTGCCGATTGTCAGCGAGGAGACGAAGCTGGTGCCTTATTCCGTCCGGAAGGGGTACCAGCTGTGGTGGTGCGTGGATCCGCTAGACGGCACCAAGGAGTTTATAAAGCGAAATGGGCAGGTGAGCTAGTAACGGGGATGGAGGCAGATGTGCGCCGTGGAGTACGGATGGGAGAGACAAAGAACCTCTGACACTCGTAGAATCCCCCCCGTCCCCCTCACATCTACCCATATGCACGTAATACACAGTGAACATAGCACTCATCAGGGGAAACCATTTAATCGAAGATTCACTTCCCACGCTCGCAACAATTCCCACTCCCTTCCCTTCTTCCCCTCCCCCCCCCCCCCCCCCCCCCCCCTGCCTCCCCCCTCCCTCTCCCTTCCCTCCTCCTTCCCTCCTCTTCCCCGCATACAGTTCACAGTGAACATTGCGCTGGTGAAAGGAGACCGTCCCATTCTAGGGGTGGTCCACACGCCTTGCCTCCAGAAGACCCACTTTTCCTCGTCCCCCCCGTCCCCCCTTCCCCCTTTCCCCCCGTTCCCCCGTTCCCCCCTTCCCCCCCTGTGCCAACAGTTCACAGTGAACATCGCTCTGGTGAAAGGAGACCGCCCCATTCTAGGGGTCGTGCACACGCCTTGCCTCAAGAAGACGCACTGGGCCGTTGCCGGTAAAGGAGCCTTCCTGCGGGACCATTCCAGCCAATCAGATTCGTCCGCTCCGCCTGAGGATAAGCCGATCCGGGCAGCTGAATATTCGGACGCTGACCCTGGGCTGGTGATCATGGGGTCCTTGTCGCACAGCACGCCTGAGACAGAGAAGTTTATCGGGCAGTTTAAGGAGCCCAAAGTGGAGGCAATGGGCAGCTCGTTGAAATTTATGCGGGTTGCGGAGGGGTCGGCGCATGTGTACCCGAGGCTGGCTCCAACATCGGAATGGGATACCTGTGCTTCTCAGGTACCGTGACTCAGTTACTCCTGGGACTACCTGTGCTTCTCAGGTACCGTGACTCAGTTACTCCTGGGACTACCTGTGCTTCTCAGGTACCGTGTCTCAGTTACTCCTGGGACTACCTGTGCTTCTCAGGTACCGTGTCTCAGTTACTCCTGGGACTACCTGTGCTTCTCAGGTACCGTGTCTCAGTTACTCCTGGGAGGGACTACCTGTGCTTCTAGTAGACTCACGCATCCCCACGTTATCTCTCCTGGCGTGCCTTTGTCGTGTCAACCTGTGTTCAATAGATGGCTCCTACGTCAGAATGGGATACATGTGCTTCTCAGGTACCGTTACCAGTGCGGATATCGCTTCCCCAAGGTGACTTTTGAGTCTGCACAAAAGTAACATCCGAATGAATTAAGTGTGCTTCTCGGGTACTGTTACTCAGTTACTCCTGTAAATATTGCTTCCCCTAAACCCACTCATCCCCACAGCGTCTCCCCTGGCGCGCCTTACCTGTGTCCAATGTGTGGCTCTTTCAGTGCCTAGTAGAAGAGGCCGGGGGAAATGTCGTGCAACGGCGGTTTTGCCATGGCTGCCTTTCGTTTGGAGCTCTTAACCTGGAGCTCACTTCCCGTGACTCCACCTGCTCGTCGCGTTCATCTCCCTCCACTCATTCCGCCTTGTCTGTTTCTTATACCTACCCACTCCAGATCATAGTGGAAGAGGCTGGAGGGAAGGTGCTGCAATGGCCTTCTCAGGAGCCTGTAGTGTACCGCAAGGAAAACATTCTCAACCCTCACTTCGTAGTTTTCGGTGCTCGAAAAGAGGCTCAGTGAGGCGGCTTGTCTGGTCTTTGTCTATCCAAATTCTTAGTGGAAGAGGCTGGGGGAGGAAGGTTTTGCAGTGCAATGGCCTTTTAAGGAGCTTGGGGTTACTGAAAAGATAATATTCTCAACCCTCACTTTGTAGTTTTCGGTGCTCGAAACGAGGCTCAGTGAGGGGGCTGCTTGTTGTCCGGAGATCGGTGCTTGCAGGCATTGTTGCGCCGAGAATGCTCGTTGTAAACTACCTGATTGGTCGGAAAGAGCCTCAGCGTGGAGGTGGCCACAATGGCCTGCCTGCCTGTAGTGTACCGCACAGGAATCATTCTCAACCCTCGCCTTGTAGTGTTGGGAGCAGGCCCCCAAATTGGTTTTGGCCTTGTCTGATTCATCAGAGTCCACTGCCTTCCCTTGGTATGGGTGTCAGAGTTACCTCCTTGAAAAATTCGGAAAAATCAGAGTAGCCTTTGATTTTTTGTCTGACCAATCAGAGTCATAGCCAAACTTTTGTATGAGCGTTTTTTATGGTTCATTAGAGAATGCACTACATTTCACTACATACACGGAATCAGTCAATATCCTGCAGAGCATATCCTGCTGAGGCTCTGCCAGCATATCATCATCTACTTTCTCCTTTCCCTTCCTACTGCTACTAGCCTCGGGCAGGGCGTTGCTAAGAGGCTTCTGTCAAACATGTGTAGTTATCATGTTTGTATAGACTGTATAGGGTCACCTTCTAGAGAGTACAACATTTAGGTATATGTTTGTGTACTCTCTCTCTCACATTATTCAATTCTAGGTTTGATATGGTATCACGAGTAGGTTTCGACCCCCCCCCCCCCCCCCCCCCCCCCCACCTACCGCTTCCGCTCCTCCCGTCGCGTCTCCTAGCCTCGCCTCGCCCCTCCTGAGCCCAGTCGCGACCCTCCCCCTAGCCCCGTCGCGCCCCTTCCAGGGCCTCGTAGCGCCCCTCCAGGCCCCGTCGCGCCCCCCTTCCAGGGCTTCGTAACGCCCCTCCAGGCCCCCGTCGCGCCCCTCCAGGGCTCTGTAGCGCCCCTCCAGGGCCCCGTCGCGCCCCCTAGCGCCCCTCCTCGGCCCCGTAGCGCCCCTCCAGGGCCCCGTCGCGCCCCTTCGCGCCCCTCCTGGGCCCCGTAGCGCCCCTCCAGGGCCCCGTCGCGCCCCTTAGCGCCCCTCCTGGGCCCCGTCGCGCTCCTCACAGGCCCCGTAGCGCCCCGTAGCGCCCCTCCTGGGCCTCGTCGCGCCCCTCCTGGGCTTCGTAGCGCCCCTCCTGGGCTTCGTAACGCCCCTCCCAGGCCCCGTCGCGCCCCTCCTGGGCTCCGTAGCGCCCCTACTGGGACCCGTCGCGCCCTCCCTGGGCCCTGTAGCGCCCCTCCTGGGCCCCGTCGTGCCCCTCCCAGGCCCCGTCGCGCCCCTCCTAGGCCCGTAGTGCCCCTCCTGGGCCCGTAGCGCCCCTCCTGGGCCCCCATTGCGCCCCTCCTGGGCCCCGCCGCGCCCCTCCTGGGCCCCCATTGCGCCCCTCCTGGGCCCGTAGCGCCCCTCCTGGGCCTGTTGCGCCCCTCCTGGGCCCTGCCGCGCTCCTCCCTGGGCCCCGTATCCACCCTCATGGGCCCCGTCGCCCCTGCTCGGCCCCGTCGCCCCTGCTCGGCCTCGTCGCCCCAGCTCGGCCCTGTCGCGGCCTCTCGGCCCCGTGGCGCCCGCCTTGCCCCTGTCGCAGCTGCCCGGCCCCTGTCGCACCTGCCCGGCCCCGTCGCGCCCGCCCGGCCCCGTCGCCCCCGCCCGGCCCTGCTGTGTCCTGCCCGGCCCCGTCGCTGCCGCCCGGCCCTGTCGCTGCCGCCCGGCCTCGTAGCTGCCGCCCGGCCCTGTCGCTGCCGCCCGGCCTCGTAGCTGCCGCCCGGCCTTGTCGCTGCCGCCCGGCCCCGTCGCAGCCGCCCGGCCCCGTCGCAGCCGCCCGGCCCCGTCGCAGCCGCCCGGCCTCGTCGCTGCCGCCCGGCCCCGTCGCAGCCGGCCCGGCC